ATCTAAGGAGCCAGGTGGGGGTTGATTCCATAAATATTCTGGAGGTCAGCCCTTATATTCACCTCATAAAAATAAATTTGTCCTATTCTTTCTGTGGTCTAGCATTATAAAACTTCTCGTGTAATCTGACAAACTTAGTGGTGTGATAATAAATTCCGCATTTCATTTATTAACTGCTGTGAATAATTGTGATTCCAAAACAAAATGCTTCATTGACTGTGTATGACGGAAATTGCTTGAGTATAAAACTGGTTTTTCTTAAAACACTCTGTACAGAACATTTCCGAAAATCTATGCTAGAATTTTAAAAAATTCATTCATTTGTTTTCGTTTTTTTTACACATATGTTACCTCTGTTAAATAACGAATTATCATAATATTTTTACATCCTTTATAAATACTTCTTTGAAACTGTCATTGTTTTCGCCAAATGAGAAAAATTTGCTCGCTTATATCCTCCGCGCAACTGGCACACTAAACCAACCCTTAGTAAACATTCATTATGTTCGTCGTACAAATATTTAGCAAGGATAACAGCGAAAATTATGAAACTGTATGATGAAACGATAATATGGGCATGAGAAAATTAGCAAATGTTCCAACAGTAAAGCGGGAGATTACTGGAATAAATTTACGTAAATAGCTTGGAATATGCAATTTTATTATTTATATGGCCGCGTGACTGGAATATTTTTCCTAAATTATAATTGCATTTTTTTTATAATCTCGACTTTTCAAGTGAATTTATAGTAGCGAATTCATTCTGATGAAACTATTCCCCGTTTAATTGGGGTTTGACACTAATTTATTACCTACTTCATTCATGAAAACACGGAGACAAATTTAGTTTTACCTATTCATAGTGAAAAGTGTATAGATTATTATCGGAAACTATAATTGACAAATTTCAAAAGCTGATCTAAGGCTTTTTCGAGCTTTTCCTTTAGATTTCAATTCTAGGAGAAGCAAAAATAAATAATTGTCCCACTTTCTATATACCTTATAAACTAGAAAACTTCACTCTTAACGATAAATGCCGTTTAGTTCTATCGATTTTCTCGAGTATGCTCTCTTTGTATTGTTTGCGCATATAGAAGGAAGCTATTGCTTAAAGGAAAATCGATGTTCGAAATTTGGTATCTCCCTGGATAGATGGCGCCATATAACAATAACTTCACATTTAATTCACTACTTCATCTTTTTCTACGCATAACCAAACACTTTTTTATGCTTTAATGTAATAGTATATATTAAATAAAAACTTTATGGATTTTGGTTTGATTTTTCAACAAATAAAAATCATAATCCTGAATTTTATTTTACAAGTTTCCCACTGCTTGGTAAACATGTCTAAAACATTTTTGCAAAAACCCTTGGTTTTCTTTATTAGCAAAATTAATAACTTTATGATATTAGATATCATTCATTAAATACGTTGCTGGGAATAATAAATTATATCATTATTATTATTATTATCAAATTATATTATTTTATTTTTGTCTACTATTGTTATTGTATAATAAATTTTTAACAGAGAATTATTAACTAATTGAATTGAATATTGAAGATCTGTTATAATTCATGGGCATAAAATGAAATAAAAAATTTCTTCAAATTTTAGTTAATCGCGATTTCTCAAGATTTACCATAATTGTTATGCTATCCCAAAGGATCATCATTAAAAAATTAAATTAAATACATTAACTTCAATTCCATGAAAATGAAGGTCCTTTATAATTTGTTAGACTGAATAAATTGAACACTTGCATATATTCATTTAATTATGTCATAATTCTTTCCGATAGAAACAATGAATTCACTTTAAACTTATCGTAAAAATGCTCTATTGTAACTACGGGATGTTATCTAATTTCCTGATAAACTAAAATTTCCCTTTCAAAATTCTTATTAATTAGAAACCATTCCCTTTCGTTTTACCAAGAACTGAAAGAATTTTAACCCATATGTTATTATCGTTTTGGTGGTTCATTTTCATTAACCTGTGTGTTTTTTGAATTAATAAAATGAACGAAAGTGTATTCTTAGAAGTTTGAGTTCCGTTTGCTCCATTACTTTACTATAATTTGAATGGTTATAAAAATAAAGTATGTCGATATTTGTTTGTTTTTTATTTATTTGACAAGTGATTTCCTTCCACATGGTTCTGAATGGAAGTTTCTAATACATATTTTTTTATTTTCATAAATTGTGACTCAGTCACTGGTCACCTTTGGTGATTAGAGGAATTTTACAGTTTCCTTTTTTTTGCAAGTTCCTTATTTCTAACATTTTAAAAATAATAGTTAATAAATTAATCAAAGCTGCAAAACAGAACTACTTCAATAACAAAACTGATGAAGTAAAAATAATTCGCCGGGAACCCTTAAAAAATAGACTTGTGATAGGGGCACGAGGGTCAAAAAAATGAAATAATGTTCATTAGTCAGAGTTAAAGCAGCGGACAAGATATGTGAAAGTTTTTACTTTTTGTATGGTATTAAAGAAAAGAAACAACACATTTGGTGAGACCACATCATATAAACACTGACAGCAAAAGAGAGAAGTTTACTAAAATAAAAATGGCAGATCTAATAAAAAAAGCAAACGTCGATGGCATATTTAAATTTAAAATAATTTAAAAATAATTGGGGACAAGATGTTTAATGTAATCAATCAAAGCATGGAGTTTTACAGTTGTTCCTATTGAAAAAGTGAGACAGATATGTGAAAAGTTCTGATCCAACAACATGGTTGAGAAACTATTAAAGATTTATGTTAATGTTAGTTAACTTCACTGAAAAAATAACATATTGAGCGAACTTAAGGCTCGTTTCAGAAGTAAAAACTCATGTGAAAGTACATTGCAAAGAGTTCTACTTGACTGCAAAGTTGCACTTAACAGGATATATTGATAGGATTTGCATTGTTTAAGCCAACATTTGAAACAATAGATAATTGCTATTGCTTAAACTAAAAAAAAGTGGACTAGGCCGAATAATAGTAAAGTGACGGCGGAGGAAACAATTTGTGGAGTATCATAACGATCAACCCTACTTATAATGTATGTAAATAATATTGCTCAAATTGTTCAGACATGTAAAATTCCACCTCTTGCAGATGAAACTGTTATATGCGTATCTGCAAATACAGTTCTAGATATAAAAACCACAGTAAACCTAGAACTAATCAATTGGTTGAATAACAACTATTTATAATTAAACATAAGTAAAACAAAATGATGCTTATAAGAAATTGTAAAGTCAGCGAATTAAATTATTTTATTTAGATTGCTTTATTCAGAAACTTTCATTTCATTATTAATAATACAGAAATAACAAAATACGGCTTTATGAGTCATATTAAAATGCAACAGATATACTAGGTGAGTTGATATGATATATTACGGAATTGTATTAATTTTAAGACAAATAATTACCTGTATACGTTAATTTTTATTTACACAATGTTACAGCAGCTAGTTCCGAAACATTTCTTAAATAATTATGAATATGTGAGAGACATTCGTGAATATTACACTAGGTTGAGAAATAACTTTTACCTACACGAATTACCAAAAGAATTTGCTCTATAAGAGTGTAAAACAGTATAACGAATCCAATTGTATTAATGAACATAAAAACTTTAAACAGCCTTAAATAGAAGTGTAAACCATATTTATGGGAAATGGACATATGTGGGTTAAGGAAACTGATATGTAATTGACTGACTGCCTGTAATTGTTGAACATTTATTAGTTTATTATGCTATTTTTAAATATTTTGACCTATTCAAGCTGCAGTCCGAAGAGCAAAAAGGCGAATCTTCTAAAGAGGGAAATATCGCATACATGTAAATGGACGACGAGGAAACAGCAAACGTAGTCTTGTTTTGGTCCACTAAAAGAGTTCAAAATAGAAACAAGCTGATGCGGAATCCAAATTCAATGCCGGAATCTGATTAAAAATAATACGAATGGGTACCCAAAAGGGGTAATTTTATTACGTATGAATCGGATTGGGAAACTTTGCTCACTTAAATAATTCACATGTATCCTTTAATAACCTAGCAGATCCATATAATTTTGTTGAAAGCAATGAATGAAATGAAATTTTGTTTTATTTCCAGAGGACACTCTCTAGTTTTGGATGATGTATCGCCCGGCCCATTTCGCAAAATATTACTACGCACACTTTCTGTAAAGCCGCCGCTTTATTAATTGTTTAAAAATTTTGCTTAACGGCTTGTCACATCTTTAAGAAAGCAATTATTAAACATTATTATGATACCTCAAAATCATAGCGACCTCCTTCTACATGAAAAAGGTTGTTATTATTAACGGTTTATGGTATCTGTAGAATATTTATCATGTGTTTTTAGATTTATAAGGGCTTTTAAGGGGTAAGCTATAAAACTCCAACAGTGAAAATTTTATAATAGGTTGTTTAAGAACTCTGTAAAATGTTTTAAAAAAACCTGAAGTAATCATAACAACACTAAAGGTTTTTATAAATAATGTCACGGAAACGGAAACGGATGCATTATTAGAAAACTTAAAGTAATTTGCTATTCATTGGAGGTCCTACAAAACTTGTAACACTAATGGTTTTTTATAAAAGAATAGAAACTGTTACAAAAACTAAACTTTTTTATAAACCTCTTATAAATTATCCATTACCTTATAATAAAACGTTAGGTGAAAAATATTAGTTGGGAATGTGGTTAAAAAACGCATATAATTAATTCGATTATAGACTCAGACTTGAGTTTCGCGATATTCGAACAGCGGTTAGCGACCGGGGGCGAAAACAACCAGCCGCCTCGACGACTAGCATCCCCGTGCGTAAACCCGTACAAATGCAGCTGTGTAAACCGGGCTTATATTGGCTTTTTCGAACGGGCTTTAGTCTGGGTGGTCCTCTCGCGACGGCGGCATCTCTCGCTGATTTCCACTTTCGCGAGTGTAAATAACAACCCCCGACCTCGCGCGGTCGCATTGTTTTGAATTTTTCTAAAACAAAACCGTTGTCTTTAAGGGTGTAAACCATTTTTGATGTCGTCCCGAGCTTTGCTAAAGCATCCGCTCCGGGATCGCTTTAAATTAGTGGCTAACTACGTGTCTTAAATGTTTTCGATGTGCTTTATACGTAATAAGTAAAACCTGACTGTAAATTGCTACGGTAGAATCCATACACATATATAGATATATATTTTGAATAAGCGTGACATATAACGAACGAGCCAATAACAGATCCTGTATATATATTTTCTTATTTGTTGTTTACGACGATGCCAGAGATCGGCAATAGACTTGAGTTGAAATTTTTTAAGAGGAGAACGCAAAATGAGAAGAAGACCGTCGCGAAGTCTCCAGAAAAAGCGGTCAAGCACCCAAAGAGTCCAGTGAACAGGGTTAAAATCGCACCACCCTATGCCTACGTCGAGGTATGACGATAACGCTGATAACTTAAACTCTAAGAATCTCACACGAATCTTAAAATAGTACCTATATTACATAACCAGCGCGTTAGGTAGGTTTTTGCTACACCTTAAGTGAAATTATAGTAAGTTTATCGGCGCCGAAGTCATTTACTACGCGAGATATATACTATATCGTCAACAATGATTACATATATCATACATAATCTACATAAAATTCGGAAAATATTGTGAGTCAATTAAATTCTGAAGAAGCCAACAATCGAGAAGACTTGAAAATAGTATTGGTCTAGTGTTTTCTGAAATTATAATGGATTAATTATTTACAAACAAGTCTAGCTTTAGCGTTTATTTAGAACTATCTGAATAAAATTAACACTAAGTACAGTTATGTTTGTTTTAGGAAGCTAGAATATTAAAATTAGATTCTTAAATATCAATCATGCAAAATTTGGGGCATTAAAAGGAATGCAAATGATATCATTGAAAAAATACCGAATTTTTTGTTGAAGTTAAATTAATATGAATTATTTTTGTTATCAAATTTAATAGGGTTGTTACTAATCTTATCTTTTAATTAGTATTGAATTGTTATAAAATGAAAAAAGTGCATGCATAACAATTTTGGTATATTCCTTAAAATGTTAAAACAAAACATTTACACAAATTTATAACTAATAAATAAAAAAATGCAAAATATAACTTAACGTAACAAAAAAGAACCAACACCTAAAGCGGACACAAAGGGACCTAAAATTTATAGTTTTATAAATAATATTCTTTTGAATTTAAGCACTACAGTGGCATCTTCACTCACATTTAACCATATTTGAATTTTGTCACTAATATTGACCCCACACCTGACACCAGCGCACACCGCGCCCAATCGAGAATGTTTTATGATAATGGCGATAGCGCACAGTTAAAAATATGAAGCCAATGTACAATTTTGAATACGCGGTTGTTTGCGAACTCGCCGTGATTCGACATTCAATTAGCGAGAAAGCTTGGTAATTAAACTTGCTCATTAATTGGCGTTTCAGTTTTCAAACTTCCACGCGCAAGTACGAACACGCTGGTGTTTGAAATCGATTTAATTTAAGTATTATTACTCGAAGAAATTGACAAAAATTATCGAAATATGATAATCTTTCGAGACAACAACCGTGAGGATTTTGTTTTTGTTTCAGGAATTAGTGGTAAGCTCCCCCAACGAACGAAACTGGAGGGGGATATTTATAGCTCTCCTGGTGATTGTCGCGGTCTTGGGACTCATAGTATTCAGTATAGTACTGGTGTCGCCGCCCGAAGAGTGTCCCAGGACCAAAGGCGCCAAACCCACGCTAGAAGATATTTTTATAAAGCTTCCGCCGCCAGCCAGGTTTAATGGCACGTGGATGTCAGGTAATAATTTACATTATTTTTGCGTTGACTTAGTTCTGTAGTCATTTATGTTCTCGCTCATTAATGGCGATTTTACAAAATACTAAGGTTCTTCGGAGGTAAAATTTGGAACGGCGACATTGCGTGCTATAAATAAAAACAAAGCACCTGCTACTACAAGTATTAGAATCATCTACTTAGTAGTTACTTAAGTTAAAATTTGAACAGGTTTAAAATGTTTTTGAAAAACGGTGGTGTTTTGTTTCATAAATAAATATTCAACATAACATCAACAGTTCTTTGAGATGTCCTCGGATGAAGCAAAATGTGATTGAAGAGTTACAAAATGAAGACCAACAGTTAGGATTTCTTAGGTTTAAAAATTAAATCAAATTGACTCCTCCGGTAAAATTAGCAAAACATGCAGCCCTAAGGGAATTGACAGAAATCTTCAATAGCAATATTAACGAAAACTTAATTTCTAAACAAGTATTAAAAAAATCAATAACATTAAAAGTAAAATAATGAAAATTGCTGATTTGAAGGGAACCGGGAATAAAAAATTAAACTAAACGAGTGGCAGTGACAGAAATTTTTGTGTGAATCAATAATTTCGAAACATAATTAATTTGTGGATAACAGAGGGGAGTAGGAGGGACTTTGAGTTATTTAGAAATAGACATCATTGGTCTCTACCGTCGTTGGAAATTTCAACTTTCCTGGAGCATTTTAAGTATTTTAAAATAGAACCTTGAAACTTAAATAGCGGGAATACTGCTTAAACAAACTCACTGAACAACTATTGGAGTAACTGTCGGCCCCAGCAAAGATGAATCTGTTGGACGAAAGAGAAGTTTAATTAGTGAAGAAGAGGTAATACTGTGTTTTTATGAATATCAGGAAATCCGTAAGCTGTGGAAAAAGCTTCAAGCGCTCTAGGAAAAGTTGAGACAAGGGTTTTTTTCGTCTAGTGTGATCATGTTAAAAGATCGTTCGCACAATAAACTACCCCTACTAAATTCTACTATGTTATGTTGATCGATAAATATATACTAATTGTCTATCTTATCTAGAGAAATGCTTCGATTTTATTCTATTCTTTTTGAAATTCATTGGCTGTAAACGTCACATTTTTCCAACTAAATATGAAATAAAAGTAAAAAGCTTTTTAATTGCACACACATATTTCATTCTCTAGCACGTCCTATGATATCAACTTCGTTTTCGTTAAGATCGGAGCTTCGGCTAGTAAAAAAGTAGATAATTCAAGCTGTAAATATATGCCATACATTTTTGAAAAATGCTATTTGTTTTAGCATTCGCGAAAAAATGGATAGACAAGTTCTTTGAAATGAAGTATCTATTTATTTTTAAATTACCTCTACGTAGAACTTGAATACTTGTTGTAGTAGCACCAGGTACTTGTTTTCATATGAATTTTATGTTTGCATTGTATATGTTGGCATTGCTTACAAAAACAGTTTGATATTGTTCAAACAGCTTACCGGTTTTAAATCCAAACACAAAACAAATTGCTGTGTTGCTGAATCTTGTGAATTTTTGAATCTTTCTAACAAATTTTTAGCTTTACAATTGCAAGCAACGCGATTTATGGATACTTGGCCCCTTACAATATTCGATTGAGCTATAATTTCATAGAGAGTATTTTGAAGTGTCACCGTAAATAGTTCCTAGAAGTTATCAGTTCCTTTAGTAGACCCAATTAAATTTACATTTTTTATAAGATATTGTTCTTGCGTAATTATCCACTAACGACATAATGTTTTATTTTCGCTTATGCGGGTAGAATGAGTTGCTCAGGGGTTCAAAGGTACCGTGTAGATATTATAAATTATTTCAAATTGCATAGGGGTGTCCCACAATTAACGTCACAGACCATCACTATTTTATTTTTAAAGGTCTAAATTTATTTAATTAATTGTGATTAATTAAATTTCGTTTGAATGAATAGCAAGGTTATTTGAATATTTTTTTTAAATACACCCGAAAGACGCATATCTTTAAAACATCCCCTTCCTTTTTTTTAAAACGGCACCCAGGTTACTTTTTCCATTTTTTCATGTTCAAGGGCAAATAAAAGAAAATATTTTTTCAGAACTGGATGAAACTAACTAAAAATAATAAACCGTTTTTATAAGAATACGCATAGTTCAGTTTATTAAAAGGTTTTTTCTTACTTCAAAAGGTTTTTTGCTTGCTTGTTAACTCGACATTTGAGGCTTTAAAATCATATTAATTTTAGTGAAGCTGATACAGTTTACCGAAAACGCTAGCCTAACTGACCCACACCCCCACAAATATATTTCAGCAGTGAAAGAAAAAAATCAAAAATGAACAAAGTATTGTTAATGTTATGTGGCAATAAATCCGCAATTCGTACTTTTCAAAAACTGCCATTTTTTATAAGCAAACAACAATATTTCAATTTTCTCCAACATTTATAACTAGCATTTTACTGTTTGTTTAGTGATGCGGCATGGCAACTCTACTCCATAATGCACACAATACATTCACATGCAGCTTCCTGAAACGTGGATTAGAAAATGAGCCTCTATAGGTAGCCAGCCTGCTTTCCTTTTGTGATCCCTTTGTCTAGGTAATTTAAACGACGTCGTCTATCAAAGACCATCCGTAATAATGTCGAAGCGCTAAAGTACGGAATTCGCGAAACCTGTCAAACAATGTTAGCTTATATTATTACTACAGCTTGCTCCAGCGAAATCTGAGAAATGCTGAAATACTTTGAAACTTGTTTTCAGCTTTTTTAATATAAGGTAATATGATAATAGCCAATCGAAACGTAACCGTTACCATTATAAAACAACATCATTTGACTATTATATTTTATGTTATTTTATATTAAGTGAACATTGACAATTAAATCTGTTAATTGTCAGTGTGGTTGGTCACATCACTTTCCAAATGGCTAACGATTTTTTTTACCACAAATGAACCGACAGCATAACCCCTTAATTTGAAACGCCAAACCCCTTTTAATCGGTTAATTAATTAAACAATTTCGGTGGGTCGCGACTAACGAACGGTAGCCGTGGACTTTGCACATCGTTTGACCAGCAGTAACGGAGGTTATTGATTGTTTGAGGGGAGAAGTCTGTTTCGGACGTGTTATTACCATACCCTTTGAGTTTTGTTCGCGATGTACGAATTGAACGGCCATAACTCAATCGAGAGTTTAATGAAATTTTCGCTGGATGGTTGCCGCGACATTAACTGTTAGCCATAAATCATTCTACGTAGATAAAAATCAACTAACCGAAATGACCGTGTCAACGGAATTGATTCCTGTTCCATTTTGGTCTGATCTTTGTTACATTTTAATTGTCCACTCTGATATGAATGGATGTGAAATTTATATTTGTCAGATTATAGAGAATTAAATATTAAAATTCGTCTTCTAGCATATGATCGAACCCAAGTGTGGTAATTCTAAACGCCGCTTTTTTCGATCTTTCTCATCAGACCAATGAAAAAAAAATTGAATATTTTTTAAATAGATTGTTAAAAAAATGAAATTTGATGCATTTTTTTGAATAGTGAAAAACTATATTCCATAATACTGATTATACTTTATTGCAAACACCCTCTGCAGTGATTTATTATTAATTTGAATGAATTACTATCCTATTCTTTTGTTTAATCAATATTCGTCTATATTCATTTTCTTGGTTAAGCACTTGCTCGTCTGCCCCAGTATATATCAAAACCATGTCATCAGTAAATGTAAAGTAGCGGGTTTTATGGTTTAGAGAGTAAAACAGCGGGCCACTTTACATACATATTAGAGGTCGGACACAAAGTGTTTGTCTATCGTAAAGCAATTTGTCGAAAACCACTAAAGATAGAACATGGGAACATATTATTCAAAAACAATCATAATGTATTAGCCGATCAGAAATACATGGTGTCTCATTTAAAATTGCAATATTGATGCTACTACAGCGTTAAAAATAATTTATATCGATTTATTCAGCCATATTACCTCTGAATCTTAGCACGTGCAGTTTGTGCAGCAGTAAATCAAAACTAACAAATTCGAAATTTTACTAAATATTTTCATGAAATCAAATAGAAAAAAATTAAAACTCTCTTTCATATAAGTTATATTCCTATTAAAGGTGTTCAATTTGAAAGTGTGTATGTATTTGCGAAAAATCCCAACATTTATATAGGGTATTTCAAAAAACAGACGCCAACTTTCCATATAGAGAATCGTCACCCAAAAAAAAAAAGAAACAAAGTCCATATAAACGTAGGTCTGGAAATCCTTATTTTACAAGATCCGGATTGTCAAATATTAAAAAAGCATTTTTACAATATATTAAATATTTAGTTATATATTATTATATTTATATTTTTAATTCTATTTACTTTAAGTCAACCAAAAATAGAACTTTTTGACTCTCGAATTTTTTTCGTGTATTGCCTCGTTTTCTAGCGATAAAATAAAATTAATGACGCATTGACGCATCGTTTTTTCATTTTGTGGACCCTTTATAATGTGAAAATATTTACCATCCTGGAAAACTAAACATTTCCGGAACTATACGTTTATGTAAACTTTTTTTATGATGAATGACCAGCGTTTGAGTATGTTTTTTGAGACACTTAGTATATTATCAGTTAGAGAAAGCTACATGAAAAACGAAAAAGTTTTATATTTTCTAGTATAGCTTATTGACATATCCTATATAGGAAATAATTATATATTTACCATAACTATGTACAAAATCCGCTTGCTTTATTTATTCCAGAAAAAGCGAGGAATTTAAATAAAAAATTAAATTTGATAAATAATGGCGAAACCGCCTTGATCGATCTACGACGAAGGGTCGACGGGGAGTTGTTTTGCTTTTACTGTTTACGTTCCCTGACGGTAACATATTGCAAGTTGAAAAATATATTCATACGAGAACTGAAAATTAATTAATCAGACTATATTGTTAAACTCAAAATAACTTCATTCTGAAGCCACCAAGCGTTGGAAGCGATTCTTTCACTCCTCTTAGCAGCGCTGGAACTACGATACTGAAAAGCTTTCAGCTGATAGTTACCGCCGTTTGAATCTTTTCGACTATTTCAAAACGACATCCCTTAAGGTGGATTTTCATCGTCGGGAAAAGAAAAAAGTCACAAAGGTTTACGTCAGGAGAATAAGTAGGGTGATTGACTACAGCAATGTTTTATTCATTTATTGTCTGTCTACATTTTAATCGGTTCTTGAAGGTGAAAGTATTTCACTTCGTGGTTCATCTTGAATCGACTTTTTTCCTTCTGAAAACGGACTAACCAAAACTAACCAAAACACGTAGGTCTACTGTAGTTTGGAAAGAGTTGCACTGTATCCAATTCTGAAGCACGCCGTTGCTCGAAATTGATGTCACTCATTTTCAGAAGAGTATAACGAAAAACTGTTTTACAAAAAAAATAGCTACGGACAACCGAAAGACTCGAGCAAGAGTACTGAAGGCGGACAACATATTCCCATTCCGTGCCTCTAGGGTAGCTAGATAGAACGCTTTGTTGCTCGTCTCATTACATAATTTACAGATCCCGTAAACAATTCATATAGTATATAAGATGTTTCACGATTGATGGCACCTTAAACGGGTATGGCGAACGGTACATTAAATTCACCTTGAAATCTTAAAGGGGACACACATGGGAAACATATACAATCCTATCTTCAGCGGTTTTCAAGAAAATAATTATTTCTATCTTCAGCGGTTTTCAAGAAAATAATTATTTTCTTCATTTTTTCGACATAGTTTCAAGGAAATTTTTATTACTACGACAACGGAGCTAGTATAAGACTAAGATTTTGAAGTTAGCTTAGGTTGGTATCGAACAGAATATTTTTATATCGAAATTGATACTACATTATATAGGGTTGCTCAAAACGAATGATTACCCTACGAGATAGATGAAATGGTGAAAACTGCATTTTCTAAAATGGATCACCCTGTATATTATCACATATTCTAAGAGCAAATTAAATTCCCTTTCGAGTGATCTTTGTCCCTATACCTAAATCGGTTGGTTTCTGAAATAAAAGTAAGTCTCGGTGAAAACTGTATTACTTTGACAGAATTTATCTTTTAGGTGACCGACGAAACAAAATCTTTAAAAGAGGGTATTTTCTATCAAAGGAATGAACACTTTCGGTCTGTCGACAATCCTCAAAAAATTGGGATTTCAAGGGAAATTTATTTTAAATGTGTTTTGCTTGCTAAATGATAATAAATTAGTTTTTTTATCTATTGAATGTTTCAATATATCTTCAAATATTAAGAACACTGGTAAACGATTTTCTAGAGAATCTTGGCCTTCAGGTTCAAACAAGATGAGGCATCGGCTCACTGCACTGAAAAGGTGTCACAAGTATTGTAAGAATTATTTAATGACCATTGGTTTCGACGATTCGGATTGGACGATGATACTTTGAACAAATATATCCTTTAGAGATAAAGAAAGGTACTACTATCAGTTCATTTCAACAGATTTTAAGGTGTCGCAAAGTGAATGCAATGGTGAACACTTCGAGCACCTAATGTAAAAATTGGATTCATTTTTCAGTGTTTTTCGGAAAATAGTTTGTAAAGCTATATCTGGCAAATTTTCTCTTGTTCATGTGTTGTACGGGATTCGTTTCATTAAATTTTCAGTATGTTCTGTTTACAATGAGGTTGTAAAAGCATAATAAACAAATTCATTAAAAGAGCCTTAAAATACTGGGATCCTTCCATTTTAAATGGATTTTATCGACAAAATTTGCACCGGAATCAACAATAAATAAATCTTTATTGAACTGTCAACAGAAAAATGAATTATTAAACATAAGATGGATATTTCATGGCCATCTAAAAGATTAATTATACCAAAATAATTCACTTTTCTGAGAAACTTGCTTTTATTTCAGAAACAAAACGATTTGGGTATAGGGACATCATTCGAAAAGGGGTTTTTGGTCTTAGAATGTGTGATAATACACAGAGTGTTGCACTTTTCACTATCTCCAAAATATTTTTTTTCTAGCTCCAGTGTCGTAGTAATAAAAATTTAATTGAAGATACGTTGTGGTAATTTATCGAAACGCACTAAAGATAAGACATGGGAACACATTATTCAAAAAAAAAATGGTGTCTCATGTAAAATTTCAACGTTGACGCTACTTTTTCGAAGAAGCACCAACGTCCCAGCGTTAAAAATCGATCGATCGAACTAACCAAATTTTAAGAACAATCCAATATTCCGTTCGCTGTAAAAGTCTAGAGTGCCGTGAAACAGCCTATATCGAATAAACTCGAAGAAGTTAACATATTCTTTAAAATTATCAAAAGTGTAAGATAATTGAATTTGAAACATAATTTTAAAACGAATTGGAAAGGTGTTATAATTCGCCATCAGAAACTTTGTAGCATTCGCCAAAGTCTCTTCGAAACTGAAACGTAGAAACTGCTATCAATCACGCAATCTTTAGTCACGAAGGAACATATCCCTGTTACATCTGTAACGTTTACGGTAAAATATTCGAATTTCTTACCTGTTTAGGTTTGGTTTTTATTGTATGATCTATTTGATCTTCATTTTTGTTTCAGATTCCGAATTCGTATTTAAGGATCAATACGGCGGAATATCACTGTTCGACGCGGAGAACCTTACCACAAGTATTATTATGACAAATATTACCATTGTAAGTAATACAAAATCATAAAATATTGTCAACCTGAATCTGTTTCTTTATTCTATACGTCTCTTTATTCGTTCTTATTACATACATTTTAAAGTTAACATGACAAAATCAACAACTGGAGAAACTGATCTAAATGGAAATTTACTTTGACAGAGAGGCCTTGCCACGTACTACATATTTTCTGCCAGTAGTACAATGTGATATGACTAATTCTGGTAGAGTAATCTATTTGAAAATTTCCTGTGAGGAGTTACACTTTATTGCCTAATTATTATAAAAATTTAGTTATAGTTTAACTACCCTTGTAGATACTATTTGTAAATATTTAATACACAAATATTTTTGACAACTATATAGTGAAATATTTGTTTCTAGAATCCATGTTTTTATTTTTTTTTTTCATTTTTAATAATTGTTTTTAACTGTTCAGAGAGGATATTGTCTATGTTTAGAACTGAGGATATAATGCTTGTCTGAGCGAGTCTTATGACTTCGAGGGACAGTAACGCAGATGTCTTTGTAACGTGTGACAGATCTGTGGATTACGCTGATAGACGATTTTCTGTTTCAGAGACAATATGAAGTTGTTGATTTTAAAGTTTCCAACGATTTAAAGTTTATCCTACTTATAAGCGATATCGTTAAGATTTATGAATATACCACTTTGGCCAAGTATCATACGTACGACATAGCTACGAGGTGAGTCACAAAGGATTGTTTCATATTATTCTACTGCTCAGTAACCATTGCAGCTACAAATATTTAAAAATTGTATATATATATATATATATATATATATATATATATATATATATATATATATATATATATATATATATATATATATATATATATATATATATATATATATATATATATATATATATATATATATATAGTGAGATTTTGGTTAGTCTGCGAGATTCCAGTCGGAGTTCAACAAGCGAACGGATGATATCCCGGAATATAGTGTCATCACATTTTTTCATCCGTGAATCAATACGCAGACGTTTCGCCAAGTGAGATTTCGGCGAAACGTATATATATATATATATATATATATATATATATATATATATATATATATATATATATATATATATATATATATATATATATCACCATAGGCTTTATAATAATATAAGTATATCATTGAATTATTTGAGTTGGTTTTTGGTTGTTATTCTGCTATTCTGTAAAACATTGTCGCAACAGAAAACAATTAGAACATGTTCTCAATGGTTAAAGAAATATAAAGAAATTTAATTACATTTCCCAAAATTAAAAAAATGAATTATTTGAAGGGCTGTCTAATAAATAGTACAGGGTTGTTCAAACAAAACTGGCAAAAATATTTTTGTAATTATTTTATTTATTTATTTATTTTGGTCTAACGATATTTTTGTAGTTACAATTAACCTTTTAACTTTACGTTAACTTTTATGAGTTTTCTCATTTATTGATGGTTGCTATTTTCTGAATATTGTCTAAGTTTTTAGTGAAACTGTTCCACAATGCTGCAGTCAGGTTTTTGTGGGATCTACTATTTTTTTGTGTGAAACTAAAGATATTACATTATATTAGCGTAGATAGCATTTTGTTTTTTGAAAAACTTCTCAAAATCCATCAAATTTAAAATATTTATTATAGTTTATTTTGAAGAAAGTGCAAAGGAGTATTAGCAGATCAGATGTGCAAAGTGAATGCATAATTGTTGAATACTTAAACCACTGTTATTGTTTCTCATTGATTTATTTTATTGCAAAATTCTTTCCTTATATCGGGTGCAGATAGTACCACCCCTACGATACTTATAAAAAGGAAATAATTTTACAGAATGCATTATAAACAAATTGAACTACAAAAATATATTATTCTTATTCAAATGATGAGTAAATCAATAAGTTTCCTCTAATGCTATTGTGTCATACTTTACTTCCTTTTGAAACCGTTAAAAATTGTCACTTAACCATTTTGCCGACAGATGTTTTTGAAATATATATGGTGGTCGCCTTTCATGGCTATGCAAATCTCTCTTTATTTGAATATGTGTATATGCCGAATGCAGAAATGCCGAACACATCAAATGTCGCAGCTCAGTGTAGTTTAGCGTTATGCAGGGTGATTGATAAGGAATGGGCAATATCTAAACTAAAGATATTAGGCCCTAAAATATTATGATTCAGCTAAACATGCCTCATACAAATGTCGCTGTTTTTTTTAGGTTTTTCTATTTGGCAATTACAAATTTGAAACTTGTTTGGAAGTCGCTCTTAGAGGGCGTTTAGTTAGATATTGTATCGTAAAATTTATTTAGTGGACAATTCCAAAATGTGATTTGAAGTTTTTTTTTTAATATTTACATGGACTTTCACATACGCCATATGATTCGTTAACACTGTTCTACTAAGCATTTTGTTTGATGGATTTTAACTTTCATCAAGTATAGGCTGAAAAAATTTAATTCGAAGGTAATATTATTACTATTCCCAAAATTGTATCTATCGTATCTATCTAATAGTATTATGAAGATATATCGAATCATATTTTTTTTGTTTGTCTAGTTTTGATTGAAAATTTTTCATAGAAAAGGTGCTCTTATTTATGGCATCTAACTGACTTATTTACATTTAAAAAGATGTTTTTTCTGATTTTTGTTTTTTAAAGAGTCATTATAAGAAATTGCAATTTTTGTAATAAAAATACACCATTTACGTTTAGAGATTGATTAATAAGTTTTTATTAATCACTCTGTAAATTGTCCCGCTTTTTAAAATTCATCATGCCTGAATGCAAAATATGATTGTTGCGTCGGTATCTTCTTTTATATAGAGACTAGAAAATTTTATTAATGGTGTTCTAGGACAGAATTTCCACTTGCTACTTGTATAAAATAAATACAAATACAAATTGTATTACCTGCAGGATACGAAAACCTTTGTCCCCCAAAGAGCTGGACGAGGAGGCTCCTTACTTACAATATGCTACGTGGTCCCATGACGGGACCGCCATCGCATTCGTTTACAATAACGACATCTACTACAAACCGAAAGTGGAAAAAGATTTGGTTTGTCGTATTACGAGCACGGGAAAACCCAACGTCATATTTAACGGTAATAATGTTCATACCGCCGACGAAGTGCGAACTTTTTACATCGATGTCCTTTAAATTTCACTTAGGTGTACCTGATTGGCTTTACGAAAACGAAATACTGAAAACGTCACACACTCTTTGGTTCTCAGCTGACAACCTCTATCTTCTCTACGTGTCCTTTAATGATACCAACGTGGGGGAATACAACTATCCTTGGTACGAGAGCGGGAAATACGAGGCGATTTATCCACAAGTCAGGAGCTTCAGATATCCCAGAGTAAGTTTAATTTTCGGGTCTCAAGATTGCTTTTTCAATCTCGTCGCTACGATATGTGTTTACGATACAGTTTAAACCAAGTTTTACAATTTTCCATTTACAGCTAATAATGTTTTCTGGTCCATGATTTTTTTCATTGGGTAAATAGGTTTCCAGTTGTTTTTTCTGAAAGTCAAAATAACTACCCCTTTGCCAAATCTGAAGTCTATACCTGCAAAACTTTATCTGAAACATTCTGTACAATATACGAAGACTTTAAATACAAAAGATGTCTATACCGGCCATATCGCCAGAAGCTGACAACTTGGTCATGGCTTTTCATTAGGGATGATTTTTTTATTGGACCTTTGCAGATGTGTTTTTTTTTAATAGGTTCCATCAGAGAACCAAACTCTATTAGTATTCCAAATTTCAAGTCGAGAGCTTCAAACTTCAGACACATACTTTGCTTTTATAGGAATATCTAAAAAATAGCCGAAAATCGAAAGAAAAAGATTTTTAGATACAGGACGATTTTGGAAATGTTGCATTTTTTGTCACCCTTTGTAGCTCGACTCACTTAACAAGAGTGTGAAAACTATCCTGATTAGCGTTTTTTACGTAGAATCAAATGACGTAGTTTTCTTCCCCAAGTCATAAATTTTTTATATGCAAACTAACCTGGTGTTTTTATGTTATAATTATATATTTTATTTGCTTTAAAATTCACTCTATTGAACTATATTTAAGTACAATATTGTTTTTAGCACTCTTTATTGACGAATGAGGATATGCATCAAATTTATAGTGATTTAAAACTCAACGCTAGTCTCTTGAATATATAATTATTGATCGGTGTAAGTTTCGATTGAGGTCATTGAATTTGCTGCATGTTATTGCCGTAATCTCATTGGTCTAGACGTCAATATAAAATTATTTTATTAAATGAATTCTTTAATAAAAATTGCGATTTCGTTTAAAATTCACATTTAATTTACATTTATGTATTTTGCGAAATGTGTACCAAATTTCAGCTTTTTACATTAATTTTTTTCTCCCAAAATTTTCGAAAAAATAAATTTTTATTTCCAAAATACCTGTTTGTATAGAAAATATCAAGAATTCAACAATGTACTCCTATTACAGTGCATTCTATTTAAAAAAAATGAAAAGCAATCCCAATTTTAAATGCGCACTTTTTTCGATTCTCCATGTACTTCTAACAACCGATCCTTTTTTAAAACGGTGGCTTTAGCGCCTGCTTGAATAATAATTGTGGTGCGGTGGGACTTGAAATAAGTATTTTTTTAATAAACCTTTAAATTTTTCAAAAACATCAGAACTTAAGAATGTAACAATTTTCAGTAGAATTCAAAAATGCGGTAGCATGTTCGGATATAACCGGAAATTCCATGATCCCGTGATGGGACACTCCGTATACGTATAAGATTTCCCATTTGTAACACTCCAGTTTCCATACAAAACTGCAATAAGAGAGCTGCGAAGCGATCAACGTTCCGACATCTTAATTGGTTTTCCGCTGTATACGGTCGTTCGAACAGGAATTGCGAGTGAAACATCGAAGAATTAAAGTCGACGAAGACCATCGTCTCGAACGAGATAATCAAACTCGGACGATCAATCGGTTTATACACCGCAATCGCGGAGACGTACATCAGATTGAGATCGATCCGTTTTTAACGAGAGCGCGCTGGTTTTGTTGTTTCATTGCAGAAATCTGAAAGCGAACAATGGTCCGTGTCGAATTGTGTCATAGTTACAAAAAGATTCTATTCCGTGGAGTGGACACTAGAACATTTTGGCTAATAACTAATCCACTAATTGCCAGCGTCTGCAACATTTAAATTTAATGAAAACGTTGATTTATTTTTTATTTTAATGAGAGCTACGACCTTTAAAATATTAAGCTACTTCAGAGGTAAAATTTGAAATAGCAGCTCGTTTTCACATGATTGCATTGCATGGTGTATGTTGATATTGCTTTACAAAGTAATTCGTTTGGTATCATGCCTTTATAATTTATATTAGCTACGCCACCATCGGAGAACACATTCGCGAATTCAATACACATCTTTTTTGAGTTCTCACAGGCTACGTCGAATTTTTGAATTCATGATTTCAAGAGCGAATTTTGAAATTAAATTAAACAATAATATATTAAAAATAAACCATTACCTTTCTATATATTTAAGAAAAACCAGTTTTATACTCAATGTTTGTCACTTCTGTGGGAATTCCCGTCAACACTATTAGGTGTCTGTAGAAGCCAATGCATAGCTCCATCCTTTTTTATTCACGTCTTGGTCACGCTTATTAAATGAAATACGAAATTTACTGTCAAAGATTATTCAATAAAATTTGAAACAATAAACATTCAACAAGAAAATATGAATATTATAGTCATTTTGCATTAGACGTTTAATGTGTGGTTGAATGATATTAGTCCATATTTCGTGATAATATTTTCTTTATTACCCAAGGAGGTATGAAGCCAGTCCAAGATCTCAATATTCACATTTTGACACGTCCACTCTGCATAATAAAAATTACGCTTCTCTTTTTTTTTAACATTAGCTTTCAGCAAAGCCAACAATTTAGATATGCACTAACATTATCGCGAAGCATATTTCAAATTATAAAGGAGAAAAAAATGAAATATGATTGCGGTGAAATTTTTTTCAAGTAGAAAAACAAATTGCTCATTTCAAAAAGTCAACTATTGTCTACTACAGTGCACAATAATAAAATAAAAGATGTTGTTTTTTAGAAAACAACATTCGATAAAATGCAAGAACAAGTTGGCACAAATTTTTGGTATTATTCAGAAATAATAATTTATTTGCGCCAATTTATAAATCTTTCGGTAATTTTGAAGTATTATATTATAGATATCAAGTACTGATAAAAACTTTAACACATAAAAAATAGATGTCTAGCCGGTTTTGAATGAAAGCTTCTCAATTATTTCACATCATCTCATATATATAGACACATTCTTGTTGAAGATAAAATCCTGCATCTGGAGGTGTTTACAAAATTAAGCATAGTATAGTCTTAACTTTTAAAATTACGGTTGATTTTCTATTTTGATTTGTGATTAGTATTTCGATCGTTGGCCAGAAGCTGTATAAGGTTTCTAAAAAAGGACCTACTTAATTTTGTGTCACGCCCCGGATATTTTTTAATAACTTTTACAGACTTGTAACACATTAGAGGTATTGCAAATACAAAGCGTATTATCCACGACAGATTTTTTTTACATATATTGCACAACTTATTACAAAAGGTTAGTTACCCGTCAATACAACCCCATCATTAATTTCTCATAATTTTCATATTTGGGCTTAACACGGGATAATAATAATTATAATAATAATAATGGAGATACGCTGTGTGCTATCCAATAAATACAAAACTAATGATTTTGAGTATTCCACAAGACAGATAAGATAGAGTTAACCCCATATTTGATTCAGATTTTTTTAAATAATCCTTGCTATATTTTCTATGTGCATGCCATCCACTGATGGTCAGCAGGTTTTCTACAGCACGAAACTTTTTTCAGTGTGTCTAATGGGGTATTTGACTTTACTGGCACGATCGGATTACAATTTGCAATCGACACACATTTTAAAGCCGCAATCGCGGCAATTAACTCGACAATTCAATTTCCGCAGGTAGAGACTCCCAATCCGGAAGCCAGTGTTTGGATCGTAAACCTAACAATGCCGAAATATTTGTTTCCGTTCGAGCTAAAACCGACGAACAGCGTAGAGACGGGTAGCTACGTCACAAGCGCGAGTTTCCACGGGGACCATAACGTCGCCATCATTTGGTTGAATAGACCCCAGAATACGTTCGTCATCGTAACCTGTCGAAATCAGAACAACTACAACTGTACTGACGTGAGTGGGATTTTTTTTTTGTTAATTTCCTAGAAACTGCTTTTCATTCTCTTTCCTTCCTTTCAATGTGTATCTGTTCCCGCATTTCTGATAATCCTTCTAGCTCCGAGAATATTTGGTCTCCTGTTTTTCTGTGTTCTTTTTCTATACAGTAATTTCCAGCTCTGAGTGTGCACCATATCCACTAGCAGCGGTTGAAGACATTAGTGTTAAGAAATTAGTCATCCTTCTATTAAAGATATCAACGTAAATTTTGTGTCAGCGTTTTTGTCCCGTAGTTTCTCTTCCCTTTAGTTTATTTAATATTACAAATTACGTTCTTTTTTCGAAACAATCATTTGTTTTTCTCTATTATAAAAAAATGTATTATATATATATATATATATATATATATATATATATATATATATATATATATATATATATATATATATATATATATATATATATATATATACATATATACATTTATTTTTTGTGTATTATTTGAATGTTATTTTTCAGTTTCATGTAGAAAAGGAACATATCGGATGGACTGAGCCGGTTTTCCATCCCGTTTTTAATGAAAACGGAACCAGGGCCTTAGTTCGATTGCCGGTAAAGGACGGTGACAACGGGCACTATATGCACGCTTGCGAGGTGGAAAACGGCAAAGTAAGGCCACTCACACACGGAGCGTTCGAACTAATCCGTATTCTCGCATGGGACGAAGAAAACTCTTTTATGTAAGTGCATGCGGATAAATTGATAATTATTTTGATTAAAGACAGGTAACAAAATAACTACTGTGTAAACAAAATCATGTTATATTTATAATTCCAAATTTCACCGGAATTCTTCAGGTTTAAGCAAGCATTCAAAGCCTTTAATTATTGTGTTATTACATTCGATTGTGTTTCTAAATCATCTTAAGTTTGTTAGCCATGAATTTTGGCGTCTTACTACTGATCTTGTTCCCCTATTTTGAGCCGAAGTAATTCGTATCTCTCACCTGTTACCACATGTGTATCATCTATACATGGTGGAAGCTGTTTACACCAATAGGAGGGAATCTTAGCAGACAATCATTGTTTTCATTGTTTTTTCGACAAGCGTCTCTTGGGAAACCACATAAAAGCAATAGAAAAAACAATCAAATCAGTGACTGACCGCTAAGCATTTTGCAAGTCTTTTGTTAAAAATAGAAGCAAAATTTTAAATAATGCCTAGTTTAGGACTGTTGCCAAATCTTTAATTTTAAAGAAGTTCTCTAGTATAACATTGTGTAATTTGATTTACTCTATAATAATATGTAATATATAATATATAATAAAATTCCGTTGTGAATTTTGAAATTTTTAATAAACATCAATACAAACATATTTTTTCTAACAAACGTATAGTCGAATATACTTACATGCTCATCCAAATTCTCAAACACTTATTGTCATTTCTACTTAACATAAAATATTCAGTATTTTCAAAAATCCGGATGAGTTACTATCTGCAAAATATTGTAGCCGTATGGCTCCACCAACATTAGTTTAATTACAAATTTTCAAATGTTCGCTACTTACAATTTTCACATTACAGATCAACAAATTTGACGGTGGGATACCCTATATCGATATTATATTGATAGAAAAAGCTGCTGAATTTTGCGAGTGCACATTTTTTCGGATGTAGTTTGAAAAGTTCTGAACTGTTTTTAGCTCCCTGTATCATTTAATGCGTTTTGAGTTGTATTTTTCTTTCAAATTATTGTTGTTAAATTACAATTTGCAGCTACGCCTTGGGCACAATCGAAAACTCTCCTGGCTACCGGCATCTGATCAAGATCGTCGACAAGGACGCATATCCTGAATGGTCATGCGTGACGTGCAATCCTGAGGCCGTGGTCCCTCACAATACCACGGCCGACATGATGATTTCCAATGACACCGCGTCGAACGACACCTTATGGTCAAACTACCCCTGCGACTACAACAATGTGATATTCAGCAAAAGCTTCAACTATTTCATACAGGAATGTTTGGGACCAGAAATACCCATAGTTATACTAGTGAAAACTATAACAAACACCCGTCAACTTGTACTAGATACGAGCCACAAGTTAAGGAGAAAGGCGAGGAAGCTTTCTGTCCCCAGGGAGAAAACCATCTCGGTGGAAATCGAGTTTGGATACAAGGCGCAAGTAAAATTATATCTGCCCGGAGTTTTGAGGGAGTACGAGGATGTCACCTTTCCCCTTATTCTATTAGTGTGAGTTGCGAACGTTCCTGACAATTTAAAGGTTTTAGTATTTTTATTTGCATCTTTATCTCACAATAACTACAATTACAGTTTATTACAAAAAAAAAAGAAACAAAATTACAAACACTAAATAAATAAAATATGTCCTAATAACCGATTGACATCGACAACCCATACTTTGCATCCAACATTTAATTTGTACCTGATCGAATTAGTCTTCTGTTAATAAAAAAATTCTTGCCATCGCAGAATTTTGAACTTAGTAGGTTAACTAAAGAATAAATATTATCGCGAAATCTGACAACATTGCCATTATCATTTTTGAATTTTGCGTGTTAAAAATCCTCAGGTGTTGAATTTTTATCGTTCCAGCTTTGGTAGTTTTGGAAATATTCCGGTACTTTTTACTGAAAAAGCGGTGTTGCCGTAGCTCCGTAATTAATAGAAAAAAAAATTGAAATAATGAGACTACTAAATTCGACATGCCCAATTAATTTCACGAAAAATATACCCTATTTATTCCATGTAAAATAACAAAATTATAATGTGTACCTTAAAAGTCTGACAACATGGCGATTAGCATTTTTGAATGTTCAAAAACCCCAGGTATTGAATTGTGTTCATCTTTGGCACTTTTGGAGATATTGAAGCATTTCGGTACTTTTTACTAGCCCTGTATATAAACAATATATAATAATTAATATAATATAATAAATTCATTTTTATTGTTAAGTTTATTTATATTCCAAAATTGAACTTTCAAAATTTCCGAAATAAATAAGTAAATAAATAAACAGGTAGTACTAAAAATCGATTTAAATAACTACAAGGTCGCCAAAAACTATCATTAAAATTTTGAATAAATCATTAAAAGTCATAAAAACACCCGATTTTTATAATTTTATCATATTTAGCACTTTAAAAAATGAAAAAATTTTTCAATTTTAAAAAGTTCTTGTACATATTAATTTTCCAAAATGATATAAAGTTTCTCAAAAACATTTAGACAAAATTTTCAATCACTGATTTCCAAACTTACAGCAAGCCAGTTTGGAGACTTTTTTAGAGTTTTCTATTTTTTTTTTGCCATGTTTCGTCGTATTTCATGAATGACATGAAAAATATTCCACCTTATAGAAAGTCATACTTTTTTGAAATGCGAAATACGACTGAATTATAAAAATGGAGTAATTTTTCATTTATATGTTACTTTTTGATCACCTTGTATTTATTAATTTTTAAAACATCAACGCAGCCCACTAAAGTGGACAGGAAAATCCACCATAAATATATAACAAATTCTTTCAGTCAAAAAAATAGAAAAATAGATGGATATATATATATATATATATATATATATATATATATATATATATATATATATATATATATATATATATATATATATATATATATATATATATATATATATATATATATATATATATATATATATATATATATATATATATATATTAGCATTTGAAATATCAATTTTGTCATAAAAATCAAAACATGTCCAGGAGGTTCCGAGGAATGCCGTAATATACAATGTATTCTATTTAATATAAGAAAGTTGTTAGTTGTCTACGAAAAATAAATACCCTGTATATAGCAATATTTTAATGTGTAAGTGAATATAAACAACTTTTGAAACATTTTTTTTTATATTTTCAAGACATTCTGAGATATGGGTTTATTAATTTAACTCTTTTAAAAAATGCTAAAAGTGGTTTTTCTGGAATTTAAAGGCTACAAATGACTCCAATTTCAGAACATATTTCAAAGAACACTTTCGCAAAAATCGCCTTAGGCTATGAAAACTTTTCTCTACGTTTTATATTGATTTCGAGGTATCTAAGTCGGACTATTTTATCAGAGACGCCTCACCTTCGTCACAGACAGTCTCGTCTAAGTGGGAACTGTCCTGGCAGTGGTATCTGGCCAGCTCGCGAAACTATATAGTTGCCAAGATCGACGCCAGAGGATCCGGGTATCAAGGGGTCAAGATGCGAAGAGAGATCCAGCGCAGGATCGGCCTGATAGAAATCCAAGATCAGCTCGCTGTGCTGACTTACCTACGCGACACCTTCAAGTATATCGATAGGGAGAAAATCTGCACAGTTGGGAAAGGCTACGGCGGCTACGTGTCAGCGATGATGCTCCTACAGGATTTTCACCAAGTGATCAATTGCTCGGTTAGCATTTCGCCGATCACGAATTGGAAATACTATAGTAAGCAACGATTTTACAGTTCGTCATTTGACAATTCTGCCACTACTCCAAAAATATTCATTCATTTATTCATTGCATGCATACATTCCCTGAGTGACGTGTATCGTGATCATTAAAATTAACAAACATTATAATAGCATTCGTGCCTAAAATCTATCAAAAACATCTGACCGCGGGTAACTAAGTCGATGTCTTAAAGTGACACTTTCCGAGCGCTTGATCCACGCATAATTTGATATTTTGGAGTCCGGGGCGCAAAAAGAGTGTAAGGCCTCCATGAGAGTAATATAAAGTTTTGGTTAATACACTTATATACTTAAAAAAGTTAATGTTAAGTTTAAATTGTGAAGAATATATTTACGAACAAAATCAAAATATTAAATGGATAGATCTTTGTTTAACCATATTTTGTTACATTAACAATTAGGTTTGTTATTAGGTTGGATGAATTTTAATTTATTTTAATTTAATACAAAGCAGAACAAAAAAAATCAGATTTTCAGTTATTTTTACATTATGACAACTGTTTGGACAACACCCTGCCTTTATCAAATACGAAATATTAATTACCGATGCAGGGTTATAAATTTAAATTTAACAAGGCAAGCATTTAAATCCCATTGGTCATTAAGTAAAAGATTCGAATATCTCATTTTATTAATCTCCATAGCTTCCAACAAATTTAGTTTATTGTTTCATTATGTAAAATATCAAGATTATCATCAAACTGCATTTAAATGAATGGCATAGTCAGATTCCGAATTTTTATTTTTATACGCTCTTTTATGTTCGTTAATGCGTTTATTAAATGTTATACCTTTTTGAGTCTTCCGTGATTTAGTTTTATGATTTTCCAAAAATTTTCGAATGGTGTATTCAGTTTTAAAAGCAATGTTAAAACCAGATTTATATACATGTTTCAAAATGTTCTGGCTACGTTCTCTTGTGCATTTTATTGTTTGATAAATTTTGGGTTCGGTATTTAATATAGATATACTTCCGAGTTATTTAAAACTGTCTTTTAGTTATGATCTTATCTATCAAAGAGGGTTCGTAACCATTGTTAAATGCTATTTGTTTTATAATATTTAATACTTTTTCAAACATTTCTGTGGAAAGTGGTATATTAAGTAGTCTGTGGACCAAAGAATAAAAGGCAGCCCTTTTGTCTGTGTCACGGTGATTTGAGTAATTATGAATTATTGTGTCCGTGTGTGAGGAAGGTTTATGGAAAATGGAAAAATCTAATTTGTTCTGTAATTTAGTAATAGCTAAGTACAGAATGTTTATTATTTAGTTATTTAGTTATTAGTTATTTAGTTCCGTCTCTATGGTAATTTTTATACGCTTATGTATGGAATTAATATGATTCAAAAAGGGCTGCAGTGGTCTTTCCGTTCCAGTGAAACAAGTAAAAACATCATCTATATCACCAAAGAGAGCTTTTACTCAGAGCATTTTTATGTATGATATTTTCCACATTGACCATTAAATTCAAAATAATTTTGGTTTAAATAAACTACTAAATTATCTAACAAGTCTCGTTTTATGATAGGGTTGACTTGTCTCTCAGTAAGAACAGTCTAAACAGCTGAAATAGCTGTGAAAATCTGAACATTTTTTTAATTGTGATATAAAAAAATATCGTTTCGACAGACTCGTTCTTTGCCGAGAAGTACCTGGGGATGCCATCGAAGCACCCGCTAGAGTACGAGAACGCAGACCTGACGATGAAAACTGCCAATCTCAACGAACGCAACTTCCTGCTGATATACGGTACGGCCGATACTCGTGTCACTTCGCAACACGCTATCGCGTTTGCAAAAGCGCTCGTCGATCAAGACGTGCTTTTCCAACACATGGTAAGTGGAAAAAAAAATAAGTACGGGCCGGAACTATAGACCGAGTTGGCGAACTAGGTGGTTGTATCTAGAAAGTCTGCTCCGAGATTATCGCCTAATATCTTTTTATCTTTTAAAACCATAGAGTAATAAGTTTTGGTTTCCATTAAACAACTAAAATTTTACGTTTCTGACTACTTTGACCGATCTGAGGTGCTGCGGCGCACACTATTCGGAATAAAGATATTACGATATCATCATTCTAAGTTAAATTTATGAAATTGGAACTTGTTTAGATCAATGTTTTAGTGTTGTTACTATTGCTGTGAAAAGTAGAAAAACAATACAAAGTAATAATTACTCGGTTGGTTAACAACCAACAAAAGCTTGTACTTGTGGATCAATTTTACTTGTAAAAATTATTAAAAGATATTTAAGATGCTCCTCAGTTACTTTAGATATGTAAACATTATTTGTGTAATTCATCTTGGAAAACGTTTTATGACACGTAGTACCAAAAATAGGAAGGATTTTGAAAAATTTTAATTTTAGTCGCAATGACATGAAAGTCTGAGAAAGAAGTACCAAAATTTATCTTTAAAGTACTCAAAGTTTCGAAGTAATTGTGATTGAAATAGTATCATTTCATGTATAAATCAGGGAGAAACCAATTTTCTCTTTGCAATCTCCCAATTCTACAGCCATTCTAATTTTCTAAACCAACAAGAATTCTTCTCATTAAAAAAAAAACAATCTCTATTCAAAGTTTATACAAGCGCTTAAGGACTTTTGCGCATTTGTCTGTGATCTGATGAAGTTAACTGACATGACCGGTTTTAGAACGTGAGAAATTTTTTTCACCTATTATAATTTTCTACAGCCTTTGACACAAATGCAACAACTCCTTTATTCTTACCATACATATTTTTGTCTCCATCAGTTGTAGCAGATTTCAAGTTTTTCCATCGACGGATTTTTTATTAATAGGTTTTTCAATTCCCTTAAAAATATCTGCGACAGTTGTCGTGCCGCGAATGCAATCAATGAATGAATTAAACATTCCAGTGTTGTATATTTGGCCGAACAAAAAACATTTGTTGAGATTAGACTTTTATCGATTGTGGGCTAATTTAACGAATAAATTAGTAGCTCATTTACAAATCAGTTTAAAGCGTTTTAAGTGAATACTTTACAAAAATCAGGAATTTTTAAATATATTCAATTCAAAATTAAGAAAATTCGCTATAGAAATTAATTGTGAAAGTTTATTTTAATAAAGAGCGGTAAAACACTAGTTTTTGCTTTAAATAGTTTAACAAAGTATCATTTAATACTTCTTTAACAGCCAACTTTGTTCTTCAGATACAGAGATACAAAAAATCGTAATTTTTTAATTAAATTGTGAATTTTAGGGACTATTACAATTGTCCAAAAACTCTTAAATTGAATGACAGGGTGTCTCACGAAATGACTACCATAGCTTGGAAGTGTGTCGCTGTGGAGATTTCAAGTAAAAATGTCAAATGAACGTATACCCCGAACGCTATTCTAACTGAGCTACAAGCAATTTAAAGAGCACTAAAAGTGTCCAGTCAATTGCTGTATATATAGTGTAGCTCTTCTTGGAATTGAAGTAGTAGCTCTACTAACAGTCTCAGCATCAGCACGAATAGTTTCTGCGCCATCCATAATTCTAGTTTCCAGTTGTTCAATACTTTTTGCATAAACTAAAGTTCTTAGTCTTTCCAATAAAAAGTAATCTAAGCGATTAAGGTCAGGTGACCTTTCTAGCCATGGAACTGCTGAACCTCTTCCAATCCACCGGTTAAGATTAAGAAAATCTGTTACTTTTCGACCAAAGTGAGGAAGTGCGCCATCCTAATGAATCTACAATACTGGGAGATAATTCACAATGAAACGTAAATAACGAATGGCCATTAGAGATTCTTCAATTATAAACAGACCAATGAGGCGGTCATCCATAATGCAACATATTCACCGAAAATCTCTCTTGAAAATGGAATTCCCAAGTGTCCTTTGATTTCTCAATATCCACCGACTAAATTCTTGAAGTCTTGACGCGTAGTCGGTAGGTTTTTAAGCTTGTACAGGTAAGATCTGGTACGGGTACAAACCGAAATTGTGTAATATTCTCATCCGACTTAAGTTAAGTCTATTACCTATTCTTCGGACACTAGTAGAACGTTGAGCATCAATCGAATTAAACATTGCCTCTTCTTGAGCAAGTTCCTGTTGAACGGGACGTTCCGAAGTAACTGTAAGAAACTTGCCCGTTTCTCTCAAACGCCTATGGACATTGCTAAAAACAGTTCTACAAGGCACTCTACGAGCGGGAGTTCGTCGGCGACATTCATCAACTGCCGCTTGTCCGTATCCATTCCGAAGTGAATGTCAGCGCAAAAGTAAACATTGTAGCTTGAAGAGTATTTTAGTGTAACATACGACGATAAACACGGAAAATTAATTTAGTTGACGTTTACTGTCACAATATATAAGATTCACAGCCGCCTGTACTTTTTAATAATAATATTAACAGCCGAACGTAATACTGGAACAACTAATTTAATGAAGCGGTTTCTTTATAAATAGTTCTTAAAAATTTAAATGTTTGTAGCTCAGATGGAATAGCGTTCCAGGTATATGTTTATTTGACATTTGAAACGCCAGCAACACTCTCCCACGCCATGGCAGTCATGTCGTGAGACACCCTGTATGTGTATATAATATCTTCTGGGACATATACAGGGTATTTTCTAATTGAATACCAATAATTAAAGGGGCGATTTTTGGGTTCATTTTAAAAAGAAAACTTTATATGAATATATGTTCTAAACGTCTTAACTTTTAAGATACGGGGCGGTAAAGTTTTGAAAAATAACATATATATTTTTAAAATATCTGTAATACTCTTCTTCTTATTTTAAGACTATGTCTTGTGTTTTCAAGGAAGCAGCCTAAGTTGTGACTCCGAGGTCCATACCATACCAGCGCTTTGATGGTCTTCCGGGAGGTCTGCTTGTATTGGGTCTCTCTTCCTTTGCGATTTTCGCCAGTCGATCATCTTCTATTCTATTCACATGATCTCTCCATGCTCTTCTTCTATTTCTGGCCCATCTCACTATATCCGGAACGTCACACATTCTTCTAATTTCATTGCTCCTTATTCTGTCTCTTAGCGTTTTCCCTGTGATTGAGCGTAATGTCTTCATCTCGGTCGTTCTAAGAATCTGTTTAGTACCTGCAGTCTCCACCCTCGTTTCTATGGCATATGTCATAATTGGTCTCATACAAGTTTTATATATCCGTGTTTTGCTTTCGATACTTAAGTATTTATTCCTTCACATCACGCTTCGAAGGAATCCCGATATCCTAGATGCTACTATTACTTGCATTTTTACTTCTTGTTTCAGGTTCCTATTGCTCGTGACGTTAACCCCTAGACACTTACAAGACATAACCTGCTCCATACTTTTATTATAAATTGCCAGTTTGTATCTTCTGGGTTCTCTCGCTATTGTCAAGATTTGTGTCTTCTGTGTCGATATGATCATATTGAATTTTCCTGCAGCTCTTTCGAATCTGTATAGTAGTTTTTACAGATTATCCTCATCTTCCGATATCACAACCGCATCATCAGCGTAGCAAATTATCTTAAACTCATGTTTTCCCATTCTGTATCCTGCAGAATGCAGTTTTGACTTCTTTTATTATTTCGTCCATTATAATGTTAAAGGGTGTTGGACTAAGGCTATCTCCTTGTCTGATCCCTGTTGATTTTTTTTGTATTTTACTGGAGAGTTCCGCTGTTCATGTCCCGAATGATGTCTATTGTCCTTTGCTTTACGTCTCGTTCTTTTAGTATCTCAATGCCGTCATGTAATCTCAATCTATCAAATGCTTTTGTTAAATCTATGAAGCACATATACGCGGTTTTTTTGGATTGAATAGCTCAGCGGTCACGTTGCGGGTCCCAAACCCGGATAAAAGAGGAGGGTTGTGAGGCTACCTACCTCCTGTAAAACAGCCACTTGCTCATAAAACTTATTATCTGTAATACCACTTTAGATATCTTAATGAAATTGGTCACACATGTACTACGTATCCAGAGGCGTTATTTAGTGTATCACAACCATGGCCCCCTAGGTCCCCAGATTTAAGTTTGGACTCTTTTTTATGGGGGCATCTTATGTTGTCTAGTTCATCGCACCCCAGTTAACACTGTAGAAGAAGAATAAGAAACACTGGAGGTATACTTCAAAGAGTGAGCGACAATATGAGGAAAAGAGCCGAAGCACATATCCTTCAAGGTGGAGAACTCTTTCAACAACTTATCTAGTTTCTATGTTCTACTTTTTATCTTGTTGTTAAGATCAGAACAGTCTTCTTATTTTTTGTTTTCTGAACGACACTAGTTGGTAACTAAAAACCAGATATTTTGTCTTAAATAGATATTCTCTTTTCCACAAAAAAAGTTCTCGATTTAACCAGTTTAGTGGCGGTCTAATTAACCAAAATATTATTTATTCATAGTCAGTCATCAAACTCTTGACCGGAACCTTCGGCACTGTACTAACACACAATAACGCGTTTTACCACAAACCGAAACTCAATTCTACGTACTTGACGCGCGTTTCGCCAACTAAGTTGGCATCTTCAGGAGAAGATTAACACTAAACTTAATAACAAATGCTCTCTATATATATACCCATCGGGAAGTGGGAGAGGGGATTGCGCACTGCTCACGCAACCAATCAGCGCGTATAATGGGCTAAATGGGATTGAACCTCTGTCCTTGTTCAGTGCCTTATTCCCTCTCTTAACAATTTCTAAGCTTTCGTTGGCATCTAATTTTCTACTATTATTTACCTGTTTAACCAATTTTAAATTACTTATATCTACCTTATGATTATTGTTGAACATATGTTCGGCTACACTTGATTTTTCTAATCTACCAAATTTTAAATGAGCTAAATGTTCCTTAAATCTAACATTAATTGATCTTTTGGTTTGCCCTACATATGACTTGTCACAATCGTTACAACATATTTCATAAATTCCCGACTTTTCAAGGGTATCTAGTTTATCCTTGAGATTTTTTAATTTTGATCCGGACTGATAGATAGTTCGAAGACCTGCGGCCCTGAAGACTCTATCAAGTCCACTTGTATATTGGGGAGAGAAGGGAATTGAGACTACTTTTAAATTTTCCTTATCAGCTGAAAAGTCGTTGATTTTTGAAGTTTGTTCTTAAATCTAAATTTCATAATTAACTTATCGATAAAACTATCTTCATAGTCATTGATTCTAGCCACCTTTTCTTATAAGGTTTCTTTCCACCTCAAACCTTTCTTGATTTAAAGGAAATGTGACAAGTCTATGGACTAGAAAATTAAAACTTGCCATTTTATGTTGAAAAGCATGGTTAGAATCATTGGTTATGTATCTAAAAGTACTAGTGTCTTTCCTATAAATGTCAAAAACTAAATGATTTTCACTGTTTTTCATAACGAGAACGTCCAAAAAAGGCAACTGCATGTTACTTTCTATTTCATATGTGAATTTAATAGATGGGAAGTAATTATTCAAATTTGAAACAAAGTCATTTAAATCCATGCAAGTTGTATCAAAAACCGCGAAAACATCGTCGACGTATCTATACCATATCCTAGGAAAGTACTCGAAATTTTCTTTAGCATTCTGTTCAAAATGATGCATGATAAGTTCAGCCAGGAAAGGAGATAAACAATTTCCCATGGCCGTGCCATTTTGTTGTTCATAATAGTTGTTATTGTATAGAAAAATATTTTGACTCATGCAAAGCTTTGTCAGAGTGATTAGCTCTTCAATTATATCTTTACTGTAGTTATTATATTCGAGTAATTTCCTGAGGTATTCCAAAGTTTCTTGTATAGGAACGCTTGGAAATAATGAGGAAACATCAAAAGATACTAAAAGTTCATGTTCATTTAGCCTTACGTCTTTGATTTTACCAATAAACTCTTGCGAGTAATTTAAAATTAATTAAACAGGTAAATAATAGTAGAAAATTAGATGCCTACGAAAGCTTAGAAATTGTTAAGAGAGGGAATAAGGCACTGAACAAGGACAGAGGTCCAATCCGATTTAGCCCATTATACGCACTGATTGGTTGCGTGAACAGTGCGTAATCCCCTCTCCCACTTCCCGATGTGTATATATATATAGAGCATTTGTTATTAAGTTTAGTTTTAATCTTCTCCTGAAGATGCCAACCAGCGTCAGTTACGATTTCCTTAAAAAAATTATGACTTGCATTCATTTATAAGCATATTTGATCTCTCCATTTTTTTTAGTCCGTCTCACGGTTTTCACTTAAAAATAAAAACAAATTTCTCTGCATGCTGCCATATTAACAATATTGTTATGCCATGTAGAGAAGAAGTTTTTATTTTCTTAAGCGAACACGGTACATCAGATTGAAAAAAATCAATTAAATTTCTTTATTATTAATTATTATTTAATTTGTATATTAAACGAAATCAGGCGCGTACCAAGTTGTATTACAGATATTAAAAAATTGTATTTTATTTTTGAAAACGTATTTATGGTGATAAAATTTTCTTCGACTACTTAAGTAAGAAAAAATAATATTGACAGTTCTCTGCATACTGTCATTTTAACGATATTATTATGACCATGCGGAGAAGAGGTTTTTATTTTTTTATGCGAAAACCGAACATTGGATTGAAGAAAATCAAGAAATTAAATTGTTTATTATTAATTATTATTTAATTTTTATTTTAAGAGAATGGTATGGTATGGTATGGACCTCGGAGTCACAACTTAGGCTGCTTCCTTGAAAATACAAGACATAGTCTTAAAATAAGAAGAAGAAGAGTATTACAGATATTTTAAAAATATATATGTTATTTTTCAAAACTTTACCGCCCCGTATCTTAAAAGTTAAGACGTTTAGAACATATATTCATATGAAGTTTTCTTTTTAAAATGAACCCAAAAATCGCTCCTTTAATTATTGACATTCAATTAGAAAATACCCTGTATATGTCCCAGAAGATATTATATACACATACAGGGTGTCTCACGACATGACTGCCATAGCGTGGGAGAGTGTTGCTGGCGTTTCAAATGTCAAATAAACATATACCTGGAACGCTATTCCATCTGAGCTACAAACATTTAAATTTTTAAGAACTATTTATAAAGAAACCGCTTCATTAAATTAGTTGTTCCAGTATTACGTTCGGCTGTTAATATTATTATTAAAAAGTACAGGCGGCTGTGAATCTTATATATTGTGACAGTAAACGTCAACTAAATTAATTTTCCGTGTTTCTCGTCGTATGTTACACTAAAATACTCTTCAAGCTACAATGTTTACTTTTGCGCCGACATTCACTTCGGAATGGACACGGACAAGCGGCAGTTGATGAATGTCGCCGACGAACTCCCGCTCGTAGAGTGCCTTGTAGAACTGTTTTTAGCAATGTCCATAGGCGTTTGAGAGAAACGGGCAAGTTTCTTACAGTTACTTCGGAACGTCCCGTTCAACAGGAATTTGCTCAAGAAGAGGCAATGTTTAATACGATTGATGCTCAACGTTCTACTAGTGTCCGAAGAAAAGGTAATAGACTTAACGTAAATCTTCAAAATGGACCCAAAAATCGTCCGCTTTATTATTGACGTTCAATTAGAAAACACCCTGTATAAACCTTAAAGTGGTCAATCATTTTCTTCCTTATAGCTCAAATAGGGCACCTAAGCGCAGGGTACCTCAGAAGAAAAAAAACTAGATGGTACAAATGGGAATTTTCTTCCTTTTCTGTCAAAACAAAAACTTTAACGAATAAATGAATTTTTATGTGATATATAAAGTAGACATTTTTAAAATTATGAGTGCGTTTTATTTTCACAAAAAAAAATATGAATGGGCCAGGATATAGGATAACGCAACGATTTTGTCAAAACAATCACAACATTAATGTTGGTGAACAAACTATGACTATGATAGATTTTAACAATGGCATCTTTTCAGTTTCGCCTCCTTGATGCTGCCACTAGGCAAATAAGCAAATAGGAATAAGTCGCCAGCGCCTGACTTAAGTCTTATCTATCTGATAACATCATTCATTATCATTTTGTTAATCCGAAAAGGTCGGTTTTCGAATCCGAACACTATGCTGCTCTGTTGTGTGAGAATTGCGCATAAGTAGTATTAAAAAGGCGGAGTTTGAAGAAACTCTTCTTAATTTATGCTCTATAAAACAAAACATAACTAAGGTGCCTATGTAGTAACTATATTATGGGACTTCTCTCTGAATCATTTCAAGGCATATCCGGACGAATCGTACGACTTCGGGAGGAAGGCGCTTCTGCACATGCACAAGGAGATCGACCTGTTTTTTAACGAATCCTTCGGGCCGATCATAGACGAATGGATCGACGATTCCGGCTTTTTCATTTAATGCCGGCTTTACTACTCGTAAACGGACCTCCTAGCTCACGATAGAATTAAGATTGCGTTTTCGTGTAGGTTTTATATCCGATTTGTCCGTTTGTACTGTGTTTTGTACAAAATCGTAACGTAGTGGTTACTACCTAGAAAAAAAAATAGGTTACGAATATCTTAAAAGGCCACGTTCGTTCCTTTTGCAAGTTTTATTGCTAAGTTTTAACCATATAGCTATTAGACAATATACAGGGAAAATCGGGAAATTCGTTGACCTGTTATGGGAAAACTAAATTATTGATATAAAATGTTAAATAATAATAATACATAGTGTTCCATTTAAAATTTCGAAAATATGTTAGTCCTATATTGCCCCCACCACCATTAGTTTAATTCCAAATTTGTAAATTTTTGCTGCTTATATTTTTCCCGGTATAGTCCGCGCTTAGCTCTTTTTTTTTAATGCGATTTGGGCGTATGTTGAGAAAATTGTGCTGAAAAATTCCACAGACAAACTGAAAACTGTGGAATTCACGAACTGCCAGTGGTCATTTTGAACACCCGTCTTATTGAATGTTCCTCAACTTTTCTTTTATGAGCACATGTTATCAGTATAGGCAAGGCCTCCATATATCTAGTAGCTATATAGTTTTAGCAGGTTAACCGTCGGTGCAATACTATCATCAACAATTATTTGAAAGTTTATCTCAACAATTGATTAAAAAAATTTCGTATGTAGTACTTATAATTTAACAATAAGATCTTGAATCAACTTACTTCAGATTTTTGAGTTGTGATATTAAGAATGTGACTGCAAATCCCAGAAGATTTTTTTTTAAATGTATTCTTTTTTCTTTAATAAAAAAAAATATTTTAAACCCGAACAAGGCAACATCATAAATTTACAAAATATTATCAAACTTATGTATTCGAGTAGCAAAGAGCCTTCTTATGTTATGGTTTCAATTGCCTTTGTGTTATTTTGTTTTTTTATATATAAAAATAACCACTTTCTGTCTAGTTTACAATACGTTAACAGCATATTTTTTGAGAAAAATAATTCCACTCCGCTGTGTGTTCAATCAAAAAATAATAATAAAAAAGCTCCAGGGTGTTAAAAGGTTAAGAATTTAAATTAGATGTTAGGTAAAACCAGTGAAATTTTCTTGACCGTGCTTTTGTATCGCTAATTATTGCAAATTTATTATTTTTTACCTAAAAATTTAATTTTTAATTCATAACCACCGCGCAATGCATCCTTTACTGAAAACTTAGAAAATACTGCCAGACTATTGTTTCTCGTCTCAAAAAAAAAAATAGAGTATCAATTTTCAGGTTATTTACGTTGAACAGATTCCAAAATCTTTTGGAATAAACTAAACATAACTTAATCGAATTATTTTGGCGCCAAAAAATATACTGTTAACGTACCGCATGACCTACTCTTCACCAAAACATTTGTTTTAATTGTGTAATGGAGCTGATATTACATGCAGTGACCAGTAGCCGTGTGTGGTTATTAGCCAGAACAAAGTCTTTTTTTCATGCGAAAATAAAAACAACTATTTTAAACAACTGAGAGCAGTAGAAAGATTGAATACTGTTAGAAACAGTAAAAAGCAGTTTCAGAGATTGTCGCATAACTCCTATTTTAATGCTAATGTAAGAATGGCGTCAGCCCAGACATTTGAATCACTCCGTTTGCCTGACACTCTTTCATATATCCATAATACCTAACATATGGTATATGGAGTTACAACGGGATATATATGGATGTAGATGCCAAGCATACGGAGTAGTTCAAATGTACCGACCTGTCTGACCCAAGCGACGCCATAAAGTGGGCGTAATTTCAGAATGGGAGAGCAATTGGTATAAAAGAGAAAGTGCTTCGCTAAATAGGAATTACGCACAGCCACTGCAAGCAATCGAATGGCTTCGATTTCGCGAGCATCTGCAATCGGTCACGTGATAGGGTCCTATTCTGAAATTACGTTCACTCTACCTACTAATGAGATGTCTTAAAAATGGAACGAACAATTTAAGAATACCATATAATTGAGAACGTATCGACAAGGTCTTATTTAGGAAGGTGAATATACGTTTTAAAAACATTAACAGACATATTCTTCAACACCTAAAACTAATCAATTTGTTCAATTTCAATTAGTATTTTTTTTATTATTAATTCGTTTTAAAGCGGGTACCTCTATAAGCAGAAATATAACATATAGTTTATCGCTAATATTTCGATATCATAATAAAAACTGAAAACCGCAAAACGACTAGTTGAAATTTTGCGTTTGATGTTAAGGGGCTTCGAATAACTATAGCACCATTTTCAAAAACTATGATAGTTTCGTTTTTTAAATTTACAAATGGAGCACTACCATTAAGCTCAAACCAAAGAATCTAATGAAAAATAAAATTCTTAGTTTATTGTATCTAGAAACAATAATAGAAGGGAATTTTAATTAAAACTGAAAAAAAATTATAGTTGTTTTAGGAACCTACATTTAGATTTTCGAAAATTAATCAGAAGACAAATTAATACACCAATGTTGAGGCAAAAAAATTTATACAGTATTTCGAAAGTCGCTTACATACCGTTACTAGGACCCATGCGGTAGGTTAGGTAAACAAATTATCCTGTCAATAAATTATTGCTACTTACCACTATAGGTCAGTCCATTATTGACAGAGTCAACATACCCAGGTACGTCTTATCTCAAATTGTCGTGTGTACATACAAATATGTTGATGTTATTTACTTATACATATAGGTATATAAATTATTATATATGGCGATCGAAATTACCCAAATATTTTTTTATACATCGTAGTAATAGCTTATATGTAATGTATACTTCCAGATAAATATATTCCATTTTGTGGGGCACCCGTTGGGTCACCGTTAATTTATTATGTATATTTGTGCCTAACACTAGCTTTATGGTTAAGAGACGACAAAATTATCGAATATTTTAGTTTTGTAATAATTGATTTTAATGCGAGCCACCAATATATATATTGTTGAGATGTTATATTTGTATATGATGTACTGATTTTAATGTGACACCAAACCAATAAATGTTATTACTATTATTTTACCGCTTTACTTATTTTTAGTCTCAAGGAGTAAGGAAGCACCAAACGAGGATTTAAAAAAATGCATTTTATTTATTACACCTATAAAATAATCAGACTTCAACTTCTAGCTACAACGTTGAACAAATAATCATTTCAATTGGTTTTTTTCTCCACGGAAACTTCTGCTCTCCTAACACTACTAAAAGCAACACACCAAAAACAAAGCCAGTTTGGAATGAATATTGTGGTGACCACTGTGAACATCCAGTTACCGTAGATCATGGAATCTACCACACTGTACACCACAGCCTGTTGTGCCGCATCCGCTGTTCTTGCCAGTATTTCTCTGATATCCCCATTGGGAAACAAAAAATGGGTATTGAGTAAGACCATGCCATACAACACCGTCAAGGGATGAACAACAAGCCATATGATTCTTTGAGTTCTTGCATAGTGCCTATAAAAGTAAACTTGCCAAGCTATAGTGGAAATTATGTACTTAAAAATAAAATTTTCAAAAAACTTCCACAGGCGGAGCTGGATTCCTCTTTCGTCAGTTGTTGATTGATCAAACTTGCTGACGTTTCACCATTGTTGACTTTTTCAGAACTGTTTTTGGCCAGCAAGATGGATTTCTCAAGAACCTACCCAGCAGGAATCCAGAAGATTTGTAACTTTTTTCAAGGCATTTTTTTAAATACTGTAAAAAATACTCGTCTTCCGTGATGTTGGGTAAATCTAATTTAGAGCGCGGTACAACATTATCACATACATTGTCTATAAAACCAATTCTTGAGGGACACCGTGATCTGAATACCTGGAGGTCATTATTTGAAATAATTTGTGGTCGCTCGGGCTAGACAACTAGATACATTTGATGCCTGATATGGAGGCATTGAAGTGCATGGGGTATAAGAGACGTATATGAAGGTATAGAAGAAATTTATGTAGGTATACGAGATGTATATGGAAGTATATGCCAGGCATACGGAGTAGTTCAAATATACAGGCCATAATGGCGATTTATTACAAACCTATATGCAAATATATGGAGAATTTTAATATTTCTATTTCCTAAAAAAGGTTCTGGAAACCGACAACCCTTATTCTTGAAATCGGGTAATAAAAATGAAACAGGAAGAAAAAATTCGCAATAGTATTTCGACCAATTCTATTATTTTCATAGTTAACCCATATGTTTACTTAAGAGGCTGGACTACATGTTAAGTAATTATTAGTAAAAAGAATCTAACAGCTATTAAAACTTTCTTCTTTTGGGCAATTAAAAATAATAGAAGTCCAACAAATAAAATCAAATGATCAGGCGGTATACAAACTTTCTTGTAATAATAACCCCGAAACGTATATATCTCAATTAGGAGTAAGTTTTAATAATCAAATAAAAGAACATCACAATTCATTCATTAATGAAAAGCTTGTTACCTAGCGTTGTAAAAGTCAAACCTCAATAATTATAAATTATGCGGTTTTATAAATTACCTAGACTTTCAATGATAAATTTTGTATTCATATAGAAATGATTTCTCGTTAAGATATCACGTTAGATTGGAAAAGTTACTGTGTTAACGAAACATGTTACTCTGCTTATAAATATATGTGACAGCCCTGGTAAAAAGTTTGTTCTCTAAAAACCAATATGGATGTTAAATTTCACCAAGTTGAAAACATTTAGTTGCGAAAACAAATCCACTTTGGCTATTTGCCCACAACATTTATATTTTTATATTAATCATTATTGAACTGTAACACTTACTGGTCTTAATCCTAAGCCATCGCTGTATTATTGCACCTATAATGATTGTCAAGGGTCGGAAGGGAAGGGCAGGTAGAGGGACATGCAGTTGACCTACTTTTACCTTGGTGTTTAAAATGAGAATTATATATTATATATAATTTAAAATGAGAATATATATTAAGGTTATTCGTGGAAATGGCTAGTCTTTCTCAATTTGTTACTGAGAAATAAATAAGTAAAAGTGCACTTTTTAAAAATGAGAATATTATTATTCTCAAAATATTCAAAGCTCTTCGTCACGAAAACTCAACATTCGGAGTTGCAAAAATAGTTAAAATACGATCGAATATGACTGGAGTTGGAAATCAACAATATACCAACTTGTGAACTAGGAAAAACGCGACCCCATGAAATCACCAACGAGAAGTACAGGAACAAAAGAAACTAATAAATGAGTAATCCAACAGATTTAAAATAGTATGAAAGATATTCCATTAGTAAAACATGGCAGGATCAAAATTTAAAAAGCGTGAGGCAACCTTTCATGGATGGACAGTCCCATGGCATAAAAGGAACCATTCTCGGTGGTGGGTTACTGGTATTTCAATCAAAGCTTGAAAAAAAAGGCCTCATTCAATGTCTTACTTTAAATCAGAAGCAAAACAGAACGATTCTCTGAAAAATGGAGTTAGTCATAAAGTAAATTTGAATAAACCTCTTTGTACGAAACTTGTTGAAGACGCTTCAAAACAAAATATATAAATTCGCCTTCCACCGTATCAATGTGAATTAAACCCCATAGAATATGTAACACCACTTTTAAAATGAGGGATGTTAAAATCCTCTTGCAAGAGGAAATAAAGACGGTAGATTGTGAAAAATGGAGTAAGTGCGTCCGACTGAAATAGAAGAATATAGAACGCTGATAACATGCTAAAAACACTGTAAGGACTAAATTTTACAAATGAAATTATATTTCATATTGTAGATTTTTTTAAATAATAATATTTATTGCAATTTATCAATTTTCATATTATTCTTACTTCTATAATAGTTTTTTTACTTGATCTTTCCATTATATCCAAGTTAGTGTGACTCTAATTTAGGAGCGATTCGAGGTGTGTAGACCTTAAAAACTGAAAGACAGAATGTATCGGAAACTATCATTGCAATTTATCTGAGCGATATAACATTTGAGTTGTCCAATCATCCCGGTTATTGAAAATTTACATTTTATAACTCTCTCGCATTACGAAAGAGAGCTTAGTAGTTTAGGCCATTAGCCCAACACTTACCTACACTTGGTCGGAGTGATGAAGAGCGCAAATGGTACGCTGACAATTCCGCAGAACAATCCTAACGAGAAATTATTCATAGCAATACAAATCAGCGCCGTTCCTAGTTCCAGTAGGGAGAATGTGCACAGTATATTCATGCTGACTTCGGAAGTACGCGTATTTCCCAAAAGCAACGGTACCAAGAGACCCGCGCCGCTCGCTCCTGCCAGACTGTAAAAAACCATTTGACTGGCAGGGTAGCCGAATTTCACTGCGGTGGCTGCGACAAACGTCGGCAGGTTCAGCAAAAACATGCCAAATAGGTGCATCGCGATAAACGTCACTATAATTCGGACATACGCAATTGCATCTCGGGTACTTGATTTCGATTCTGAAATGGGCAATATTTAGTCTTTGACACTTAGAGTCATTACATTTTTTTGTCAAATAAGGTTGTTATGAAAAACCTGTGTCGCTATTCTTCAAAAAGGGCATTCGGCATATATGGTATGACGCGTAACTGCAGGAAAACCAAAATTATGATAGTTAGTAAAAATCATGAAGCAGTGTACTACTAGTTTAATTTGGAAACATCAGATATAATAACGTATGTGCGCAGCAGCCTAAACGTGAGATCTGCTCACAGAAAGTACAAGAACTGATTTTAACCGCTTTAAAAAGATCCTATGTAGAATGCACCTGAATATTCAAAAGGAATTAGAAATTATACCTAGCCTGAAGGCGAGGAAATGTGATGCAAAACAGATGTTAGAAATGAACAGACAGAAAGGATTCTATGTTGCCAAATTTCTTAACAGTATTTCCAGAAATGAACGTAGCTAATTTTATCTCATACACCATAATATATTCTAGGATTTTGATAGTCAACTAACCAAAGAAACTTGTATAATTTTAATTTTTATAATGAGTTGTAGGACAAAATATTTTTTTTCCCGAAGATATTGAAAAATACCAATCTCAACCAATTTGAACAAAAACAACCTAAATGCGATTTCAGTCTATTCTGCATATTAAGCCACAACCTACAGGATATGTGATATCTCGTTTTAAAATTAAAAATAAAACTTATGAATGAGTTGTGAATTATCTGTAGTAGTCCTTTGGACTTATCATCAAGACATGGGCCATAAGAAATACGTGAAAAACACAAAAATTCATGTGCCCACTTTTTGAATAAATTTTCTGTTTTCTGAAAGGGAGTTGTTTGAATAAACACATCTCTTCCAATCACTAAATATTAGTTTAGTAGTAAAAATATCGTGAATTTCATTTATATTTACCATTGATCTATCTAAAGAAGAAAAACTGCCGAAAATGTCTAAAAATTTAATTAAAAGTAACAAGCTTAATTCGAGAGGCTTAATTCTTTTTTTCCACTATATCTTTTTTGATAGCGGACGATTTTAGTATATGCCCCAAATGCCACCAAACCTTACCTGTATCTTTTCGCGGATCTTCTAGGTCTTCCTGTAACTTACACCACTTGGCGTAAGCTTTGATTATAAGAACCCCCGCTATTAGACATATGGAGGGCATATAAAGGCCTAAAACAGAAATTTCCATCACATCACATTTTGCCAGTTCCAAATCTTTACGATGAGGATATTGAATCTTTCTACTTTGATTTTGTCTTGTTTTATTCATTACACTACTTAACAGAAAAAGGGGAAGAGTAATAGTAACCGGAATAAACGTGCCATAAACATAAAACAAGTCAATCTTTCTAAACCAGAAATATAAAAATACATAAAACATTAGAATACATATCAAAATAATTAAATTCAGGAAAAATAATACTACCCTAAGCACTTTTAGCGACAGTTATATAGGGTGGCTCAAAGTATGTCGTCTTGGCTTTCGCCGCATCCTCAACAAAAAGTGATTACGAAATTTATATTTATTCTTATTAAGTAAATTCAATAATTAATAATTTATTCATAGGTAAGGGACAAGACATGTGAAAATCATGTCGATGTCAACCACGTGCCCGCTAATTTTTTCGTTATATTGTTAACAGTTAGCTCTTTTCTTCATTTCTATAACCAATACAATTGATTTCTTCGTATAGATAAAAAATATATTCACTAATCAGATTGTTCCTATCAGGCATAAACTAAAAAGAAAGCTAGAAGAAGATGAAACAAATATAGTTGTTAGCACTGTTACCTCCCATAGAGTTTCTGTGAAATGGCATTTAAATACCGCAAAGGATACAAATCACATAGATTGGGCTCTTGGGCATTTAATTACGATCAGGCAAGCATAGATCCGAAAAAAGATGTAATATTTATTTAGATGAAAGTGGCTTCAATACACACGACACAGAATTCAAATGATGGGGTGATTCCAGTAAAAATTGTCACACAAAATCCCTATCAGATCAAAATAGGGATTTATTTAAAATTACTTGATGTTGTCTGCGAAGAATATTAGGGACTCAAGCTTGGATTATCAAGTTTTGAAAACTGACTGGAAAATTCTCTTTTGAAAAATATTCTGTATAATCCTGGATTAAGGATAACCCAAGCTATTATAGCCGCCTGCTACAAAAAGCAGTAAATTCATCAAGAACAAAAAATGAAATTCAATCAAAAACAACAAAAAACAATAACAGTTACAAGAAACGCCCACTTTTAAAGGTGTTAAATTGATATGCTATTAAAAAACAATATAAGCAGATGGGGTTTTACGTCTCCCTCCATATCATCACTATATATCAGTATATAGTAAAAACAAATGTGAGAGCCTTAAACTTAATAAAAATTGTAATTAATAATATACCTGTTGAGAGCTGGAAAAATGAAGTGCAATACATTTTAAAAATTGAAGATTCTTAGATTTGGATAGAAAATAATATAGATCTTAATTTATCTTAATGACGACTGTCAAACGTAATTAGATTTTAAATTGAAATATACTTATTTATGTAATTAATGTATTGAATATTTTAATGTCATCTTTTCTGTTAATACTAATAATAGTAATAATAATAGTAATAATAATAATAATAACAATAATAATAATAATAATAATGTGATATTATTATACCTAAAAAACATAATACTTTAATCTTTATATTTTTAAAACAACCTAAAAGTCCGTTCTACAATACCCACTGGTCAGGTGTTTTGCTACTGTGGGCAGGTTATTTCGATAATTGCTGTGAATAGCCATATACTTTAAGACCAAGTATCCATATCAGAATAATGAAGTTGGGGAGAAATGACAGGACACTGAGCACTTTTAAAGAAAGTTGTACTAATATTTTGGGAATCCAAATAAATAAATAATCCATTCCAACCAGTACAAGTTCAGTGGCTAACATGGATTGGATAAAAGCGTAATTTGTTTGTTCACGTGTTCTTCACTTGCTCGTGAATTGGAGTGTGTAGATAAACAAGGAACCAAAAAAATTGTTTTTATTTATTGACAGTTAACCAAATTTTACAATAACAATTAGCAACGGCAATAAACAGAATTGCAAAAACAGCAAACCATTAAATTTACTTTTACGTAGACCAGAGTTTTAGGTAACTTGAAAAAGGTTAGACAAAGAAAAATCAAACAATCAACAGTATTAAAAGAAAATATTTGGTACTACATAGAAAGTTTGTTATGGGTATGTGGGTCTTTATTCACTTATTTACCTAGTGGCTCAGCTAGTCTGGAAAGTTGGTTGTTCTGGAATAATCTTTAATGGATGTGTGAAATGAAGGAGAAATTCTGTTTTTCATTATTCAAGAAAATCAGTTATGTACGTATCAGAAAAAAAAACATGTAATAATAAATGTCAGAATCAGAAAGTACTCACCTATAGAAATAAATCGGTCTGTAGATGGCAATAAATAGAAGAAGAAACTTTGATGAAACCGTTCCAGCAAGTTGTTCATGCTGCGAAATATATTCTCCAGTATTCTCCCCACCCCAAGAAAACCAACCCGTACTCTCGTTGATGCTTTTGCCCATTCAGAACCTTCCAAAGTAAGCGCTTGAATACCAAAACGGAGAAAGAGGCCGTGATTGCCATTGGGTATCTAAAATTGCAGGCTGGAGTGCTGAGGTTGTGCATTCTTACAACTACCTACTCCCGTAGCTTGTGTTCCAGCCATGAGCAGCATATTTTTGAAATGGGTGAGATATTCCTCGAAAGAAGAAGTCCTATATCGTTCAGGGGGTTGATTTTTAAATGTCTGTATTATTCCCTCTCTGATACACATTTTTGTAGCTAGATTATAAAGATCTAGATTAGGTAGCTGTCCGTTTAGACCTTCAATTTTAATATCAATATATCCTGCAATAAATGGCATACTTTAGGCTCAAATTGCTGCCAGTATTAAAAACCAGATATAAGCTATTGAGTAGTACTTTAAAACTTGTATAATGTCATATAATATTTTAGGTAAAAATTGCTGCCCGCAAACTCTCCCACCCATTTGAACAGAATTAAAAACCACAGAGAACATAAAAATAAGCTACTGAACAGGATTTTAAAAGTTGCTATACCTATAATGAATATAATTTCTAAAATATTGGAGAAAATATCTGAGATGTTGTTCTGCAAATCTACTTACCAATTTTAATACTATGTAATTCCAGATTTATCGCTGCCTGAATGGCACCGGCATGACCTTTTAAATCTCCATGATTAAGTACATTTTCACTACCACATGTAACTCCATGATAGGATTCTAACCAAGCCTGAATACCCAACTGCTCATGTTCAGTTATTAAAAATATTATGTCTTTTGCCCAGAATTTTTCTTCTAAAATAATATATAGACAATTTTTTGATTCTGAATATTTTTGTATTCATACTAATAGCATATTTGGCAAATGCCAACATAAGGGCTATAGAGGGAACCGTAGTGGGGTGCACACTCGACAAGGGCCGATAAGGTGCACTTAAAATCAACGCCTCAGTACTAGCGGCTCTGGGAGCTCTCAAGATCCCATATACATTATTTCCCAAATACATCTGCAAAACTGATTTAATATTCTATATTTCCTAAAAAAGGTACCATACATCTCCATTACTTAAAGGAGAGCTCAATGAAAAATTATGAGTATATGCATCCAAGCCTATCTGTCTAAATTTCGCCAGAATCCAACTGGAAGGCATATCATTTGGGTACTTTTGCATCTCATTACGCAAGTCTTCATAATATCTCATAGCAGCATCATCTTCCTGGAATCGCAACTTTACTAAACCCGGTAGTAAGGCATTCTCAGACAAGTAAGTGCTGTAATTCATTGACGGAGATGCCAGAGCACAAAACCACACAACACCGACCCCATATAGCACTATACATAACGGTTTGTAACATTTCAAGAGGGTTTTTGCAAATTTCCCTTGACCGCCGCTCGGATCTGTTAACAAACCCATCTCTCTTATTCAATTTAGCAGGTTCTAAAATAATTGGAGTTTTTCATAACTAATTAAAATAAAAACAGAGGTGTCAAAATGTAAGGTTATACTTCCTCTTCTTTTGGATCAATTTTTGAAAGCTATTGGATAATATCGCGTCTCTACTATGGTAAAAACTATAACGCCGCAGGCGGCATTGATATTTTCATAGACAAGGTAACGATTTTCAGCCCATTTCACCTACTAACCTGCACATTTTCTTTCGAAACAACGATATTCACACGCTTAACTTGTTTTCCTAGAACATTTAACGAGAACTAGGGATATTTTAAGAAAATACAAGACATATCCAAACTTATTGAAGATTTCTGTCAGCGGCCATGTTGGTCATTAAATGCTTAAAGGTCATTAGTTAAAAACGAGATTTTAAATTCTCGCGCATGCGCATATTGAATTGGCCTTCTCAATATTTTTTCATAGTTGCTTCAAAAATTCCTGTAGTATCGGTATAGGCAGGGCCTCTATGAAGAACTCTAAACACTAATTCCTTTTTTTTTAACTACAAATGACATTTCTCGCTGAGAATGTGTGAACATTCTTTAGGATGTGTAGGTTAATAAAGTTTGAGACTAAGTAGATAATTAAGATCAAGATAAAAAAGTATTGGTCGACATTTTCCTAATTCTAATAAACCAAATTCAATAATAGAGTTTTAATTTTAATTAGCAGGATCCCTTTCTTTTGACGGAGATTTTTAAAACGATCCGAAATGTTGGTTCCTTTTTTATTACCGCAACTGATTTTACCGCCATAATTCTGATTTTTAACTTTAAACGGTTGGCGTATTTTGCAACATCACAGTTGCGTTCTCTTGACGAGTGTCCTTGGCAAACTTATCCATCTTTGGAAAATCACAAAAACTGTTCTTAAAAATTTTTTTGGAAACAAATTACAGTACATGGTTGTCCACTGACAAACATTTAAATTCATTGAAAATGTATCGCACTGTGACCGCAATTGGCAAATGATCCTAGCTGATTTGCCCAACATTGTGGGTTGGATTCATGCCGGAAGTCTTAGGAGTTGTAGTCGTTATCATTATTTGAATAAATTGACCGAATTATCGCATGAAGCAGTGTAAAAATGTCGACTATGAAGTAATTTAGAGTTTTCTGGACATCTAGGGAGTTGTAAAGAATATAAAACTGTATTCTGTGCTTCATGAATATTTAAACTGTGCTTCCATCATAAACGGCATGTTTTTGACAAGTTGACGTTTAAGGTGGAAATGTGACGGTGATAGTAAGATATTTAAATATATGAAAAAAATTATAACTTAGTTAAGAAAGTGCGAAAAGGTTAGCTGAGGATCAGAACCTATTTGTACTAGCGGAAGTGTCAATTTCGCGAGCTGTCACCGACGTATTCCACGGCATTATCCGTCAGTCTGAATTAGAAAGACAACTTTTCTCAAGTGCTATAAAATAACGCGAAAATACGATTTCCCGTTTGTTTTGCAATACGCAGTGAGAATCAGATGATCCATGTTCACGAAGACTTCGGATAGGGTTGCCGAAAACTAAACAGTATTGTAAGTATAAGTGGACTTGACATTCATCTAAAAGAAAGTAAAATTTTTATATCCGTCTTTGCGACCTAAATACCGTGCCGTTTCGTTTTTACAAAAATGTGAACATTTGTCTGACTGCTGCTTCCATATGTGGTAATGTAGTTTTCTATGCAATTTGACTCAAACCTGCTGTTGCTTCATTGACAGTGCTTTAACTGTTAAGATGTTAAATATTTCTTACAGTCATTAAAAATATAAGAAATACAGTAATATGGATCTTAGTTTGGCAAGTTAACTCAGCTATAGATTCAGGAGGAAGGTGCATTTGGTCAAAATTAGCTTTGGCATTGATTTCTTTGTTTTGACCTTCTATCTGAATATAAAGTTACCCATCTGAAAGTATTCAATTTATATTAGAGGTTTCCAAAGTTAGAGTGCCCTTTAAAAATATGCCAATTTTACCCACTACAGTTGTGATCTGTTATTTTTGCCAGTAGAACAATAAAGAAAAAAAAAAAAAAACAGATACATAAATTACAGTTTTTTCTTTTCTGACATAAGGATTTTTGTAGAATGGACAATACATTCGAATACTTGTAATAGGATTTTATTGTACTTAGGTTTTGCTATTGCAAGAGCAAATATTATTTTAAATAGATTTTGGTTATTTTACTGCTATAATGAAGCTCTTGCAGATGATGTTGTCCATATTGTTATCGCCATGGGAACACCAGGCGATAAAACGAATTTTGAAATGGTAGTGCCAGACGCGCAGTCGACAGTTCACGCAGAACCTGAACCAGAAGAGCCCCCGACCACCGCAGAAGTGCCATCAACCTCCCAGCAGCAAACAACAGCACGCTCCATAGTAGAAATGGGTGTTGTCACTCAGCTGCCACAGCTTCATGTGCTAACGACCACTCCAAGTGGTATCGTTCCGCCAGTGTTGTCCAAGCCAGAAATTTTCCAACAACAGGGCCTAGAACAAGCTTCAATCGAAGATTATTTTACTCAGTCAAAATTTTATCCTGGTCTTGCGGAACACCTTCAGCCATTGTATACAATCACAGAGTCACAGTCACCACCAGTTCCAGTAACATTCCATAGCATTGATCAGCCGGGTCCTTCAGGACTTCAGATGATCAAGAATAAGCCGCCTCTGAGCGCCGGGAAGGTATGTCATGCAACCATGTGTAACTGAAGTCATGCTCTCCATATCAGTTATTTTAAATTTCATAATACTATGCATATGACTATCCAAAATATTTTTGTAAGAAACGGGTATGTGTGATTTGAAGTTAGATAATTCCGAGTTACAGTCGTAACATGTATTGTTGGTTATTAAAGATGTATTCTTTTTAAATTATGTTTTACTTATAATAAACGCTTTTTTATTTGCTTATATTTTTTCTCTTTTCTGATGTACAGGGGTGATCCATAGTAAATGTTACCCCCCCTCTAACTTAGTGTTTTACATTTTAGCAAAAAAGTTTAATATAAAAGTTGTACTGTTATTGTGTAGATTTAATATGACATACCTATTTATATACAAGTTAATCAAAAGAGCAGAGTATATTATAGTTATATATTTTTTAATTGGAAGTTGTTTATATTATTTCGTGAAAGGAAAGGTCCTTTTACAATGATTTTAAAAATGTATAACATGTGATGGTTATTTTTTACAACAATAAAATCGCCACTTGGTTAGCAATGGCATCATGCCAACTCTGTGTCTATTGTTTAGTCAATACAGTTGTGGCATGTCTTGAATATTATTATTGTTCATTCTACGCTAAGCATGGATGATTTTGTGATTCAAGTAAGTTTAAGATAGACTTCTATTTTGACAGAAACAGAAAAACTCTACTTGACAAATAGGAAATTCTTTCAAGCATTTACACCAAGAGATCCTATCTTGTAAAATGGAGAAAGAACTAATATAAGTAGCTGGATCTTGGCATTCTTTATTGAGCTGCTTAGAAGCATTCAGAAGTTTGTTAATCACTCGTAAAAGTAAAAGATAAAAATAAAAAAATAGAGGTTGTGTGTTAGTCAGTGAATCTCACAATTGTGTCATTTGTTATTAATCAAAATTCTGAACCAAATTGAATAAAGTATTCTGAGAAAAGTTGTTCGTTGTTAAAAACTCGGCCAGTTTAGGATATAATTTAAACATTTATTTTATGATCGAATCTCTCTGTTTAGGATCTTAACTTTTTGTAATAACTTTCTAAGACAACTATAGGTAATAATGTTTGAATTATGTTTCAAGAAACCCTTTTTTTTATTTTACCGTTATAATTTTGTCACTTTTTATTACTAAATATATAATAAGTCTCCTAACGCTTATCTGATCTATATCCAAATTATATATTTATAAAATAATAACTTTTCTGTTTAATGTAATGTCAATTATACTGATACTTAATATATCTATAGCTTAGTATTGACTTGATTGATTGCACAGTTTTAGGTCAATTTTTTGACACCAAATTTCTTATATTTCCTATATGGTTTCTAAACGTTTAGTATTGCGCCATAAAAATGTTGTGGCATGCGCATAAGTTTCTGTTTTACTTCTCCCTATATTTTTGTTACAGTTATATTGCCTGAATCTATTTTTTTAATCTCAAATTAAGAAATACCATAAACATTTTACTCAACTGCCATCCTGTCAACATTTTTCATAGTAGAAGCGGTATCAAAATTGTTAGTTTTGGTTGGTGTCAGGCAGGTTTTAGATATTTTCGTATGATGCGTCTTCTTTCAGTCCACGTTTGTACCTTGTTAATAAAGGGTATATGGAGAATGGAAAAAGAGGCGTTTAAAAATTAGTTTGCAGCCATATGGACCTAAGATCTCCATTGTTAATATATTTGAGGTATTATAGCGCTGATACCCATTTCATTTTGTTTAAATGGAATGCCGTAGGTCTTATAACATTTTTGGATTCCATCAAAAATTCTGAAAATTTCCAGGTAACATATGTTGAAAATTTTGCGAAAAGCATCAACTATGGAGGTAATTATCTCTCTTTCAACAATTTTAGGTAAAAATCTGAAATGTTTTTTATGGCTTATGGGATGGTGATGTGTCATATTACAGTATAATATTTAGATTATTTTATACAGAAAAATTTTGCAAATTTTGCAAAATTTATAAATTTTAAATCTGAATTTTAAATATTTTATTGCAGCAATATAAAGAATGATTCATCTTGATCTAAAAGTCTTATAACCTACCATACCTATCTTGAACCGTTTTGGCGTTAAAAACAGTAGACGAAAATAATGCAATTTTTAGTTCAACTTCATATATACATATACAAACAACGATGTGCTAAATATTTTTGTGTTCACGGACAGTTCAATAAGATTACAGCAAGAACATGGAATAAATTCAATGAGCTCAAGGAAATTTGCCTCCCATGAATGAAAAAAAACTTCAGAAGAATAGCAATAGGCTTTAAAAACTATAATCTACTATGCATTTTATGCGTCCTCATGCGTTAATAAACAGTGCTAAAAACAATATTGTTCCTGTCAATGGAGCAAATTTTAAATGGAACGGATAATTATATATTGATTGCACTTCAATTTTGTTCAATCCAAAGACCTCCCTCAGAAACTGGTTAAAAAGAATTTTTTTTATTGATTAGTGTAAATTTTCAAAAAAAGAAATGTTCAACAGAAACCCAACCCGTCTTTTGTTTGTTATATTAATAAATCGTTATTAAAGTATGAAATAACAAAATAACAGTTTTCTAAAAAGTAATTTTAATCTCCATTAAAAAAAAGTTGATGTGCTGTTCCAGAAGATGCGACAACCCATAGCATCCTATTTATTTTATGTCTGACCATTCTTGGGTTTAGGTTGTTCATTTCTTAAATTAATTAAATAAAACTTTTGTTTTTTACTCAACACTACAATGTCTCAAGAATCTAAAATATATAAAAATACATATATTAAATAATTTATATGCATATATATACATATCTTTACTTTATGTGTATATTGTAAAGTATAAATATTTATAGATTCATTTTTAAATTTTAATATTATTGAACTACCTAAACCCAACAAAATTTCAAGCAATATTTATATGTATTTTAAGGTCGAAGAATATAAGGAAACTATTGTTTATTATAGCACAGCTCGTTCTTTTCGTTAAGGTTAAAAAGAAAAAGCCGGATCAGGGCGCGCACAAGAAAAACCACACATGCCCTGTATGCCACAAGAGTTTCGCCACGGGCGACAAGTTGAACCGACACTACCAGACTCACGCGGGAGCCGCTCAGTATAAATGCGAGGACTGCAAAAAGTCTTTCAGTTCCAAGTTCAAACTCGTTCGACACGCTTTGATCCACTCGGACCGGAAACCATTCAGCTGCACGGTGTGCGAGCGCACGTTCCACAGAAAGGATCACTTGAAAAACCACATCAAAATCCATAGTCCGACGAAGAAACTGTACGAGTGCGAGAAAGCCGACTGCAAGAAGCAATATACCTCGTTGCTCAGCTATAGGAAACACCTGGCGGTCCACGCGGCGGAAGAAGGTAACCTCACTTGTCAGATATGTAGTTCGAGCTTCACGAGCAAGGAGGAGATCATGTACCATTTGAAGATCCACGCGGGGAGTCGCACTGTGAAGAACCCCAACGAGAAGAAGTTCGTGTGCGAGTACTGCGACCGCCGGTTTTTCACGAAAAAGGATGTCAGGCGCCATCTGGTGGTGCACACTGGCATGCGCGATTTCCTGTGTCAGTTTTGTCCTCAGAGGTTCGGGCGAAAAGATCACCTGGTGCGGCATATTAAAAAATCGCACAATCGGCAGTACGCGGAGGGGCCAGACGGCACTGTTAGCGTCAAGACCGAACGTGCCAAGTCGGAGACCGTGACGAGTGGGGAACTAAGCGATGAGGCGATATTCGAGCAGAGGTACAACAGAATACGATTAAACAGGCCAGAATTCTCTTATTCTTTGTCTCATATGTATGACATGGTCTTGCTTCTAACTGCTTTTTTTTCTTTTTTATAAGGTAACGGATATTAATAAGGGGTTTGTAAGAAACCTTAGCTCTTATAAAAATGTTTATTGAGCAAAAATAAGTTTTGAAAGAAATTTTCACAGGCTACTGTAATTATTTTTAGAAATGTTTAGCCCTGCCTCAGCCATCCTGTTGACCTCTTAAGAGCCTAACTGGAACTGGCTCGCAATCTACTCTGTACCTGTTTATATATTGTTTGAGGGGGGCGGAGCTAAACGAGACTGGGCATGCACATTGTCTCGGATGTTTTATTCCCATATTGGTGAAAGGTAAAGACCTGAGTCGCGGATAAGATTGTTTGGTTGCTTATAGATTTCTATAGATTCTCGGATTTTTCATTGTTTAAACAATTGATTACATCCAAAAATTTTAGTTTTATCGAATAAAATTTAATCTTCAGTTTCGTGATTGTGTTCGGCAACTGTTGGTGAGTTTGTTTGTCTTAGTTTTAAGTCATGCTCATTGAGCCTAGTTGATATCTTTCATCCTGTCTCTCTAATGTAGTCTTTGCCGCATATGCATAGAATGCTGTTACCTCTTGCTATCTCAAATGGAATTTTGTCTTTGTCGGATGGAAGATGTGTTTTGGCGTTATTGACGTTATATTTGTTAAGAACTTTTAATATGTGGTAAGTCATGTTTTGAATGTAAGGAAGATTGTGAGAATGAGTCCGAAAGCAACCCTACACTTGCCACTGCTTTTCCTTCCTGACCCCCACTGACCACTAATCAAGAGTTCTTAAGAAATATAAAACCAGATTTACCATTTGTCCAAAAATCTCTTAATATCTTCAATCAGTCAAAGATAAAATGCCGTTTGAGATACCAGGAGTTTACAGACGAAAAATATCAACTAGGCTCAAAGAACATGAATGTACCTTAAGACTAGGACAAATAAACTCTTCAGTCCCTGAACACACAGTCAAGAAACTGGATATTTGGTCCACAAAATCCTTGTATGTAATCAATTCTTTTACCAACAAAATATCCGAGGATCTGTAGAAATCTATAAGCAATCAAACAATCTTAACCGCGACTCAGGTCTCAGGTCTTAACCTTTCACCCAATATAGGAATCAATAATCGGAGACAATGCTCATCCCTGCCCCCCTTTAGCTCCGCTCCCCTCAAACAATATCTAAACAGGGGATGATGGCGTAGGAGGAATCCAGAAGTTTTGTAAATAGCAAAAATAATTTATTTTTTAGTTTAACTTAACAACTGATTACCCAGGAACAAGTTGCAATATGCCGAAAAAGTTACTCCATCTGATACACGAAGTCGGTCAATCAAAGAAATAGGTGAAAGTGTGAAATAGATGTTGTAACAATTTTGCAAACCATGCTTTTGTATTACTATTTTACTTTGGTATTGATGATAAGATGTAACTATTGAAATGACTGGGATTGCAACTGGTCATTACATGTAGGTGTTCTTTTAACGGTAAAAATCCTGTAGCCATTTAAACATGTTTTATTTAGGACACTTAATTATACTAAAGTCAATGTTGCAAAGGCTCAAAGAGTAGATTACTAATCATTTAAAAAATATAAGCACTGAGTCATGACTCCTTCAGTTATGAAGTTTTAACATTCGTTAACATAACATTCTAACTTGGTGACGTAAGTATCAGGTTCTCAAGAAAATTTAGGAAATTTCTTTTGAATTTTTATAATCATCTGTATGTAATTAGTATAAAAAGGCTATATATAATTTTCAGACCTCATTATAACTATTTTTTTTGCATTTCTAATTAATGTCTTACTTTTTTGAAAATATGATCATTTGAAGTTAATTTGGGATCCTTTGGGGCCTTTTGGGGTTTTGTAAGACTTCCATTAAATACTAAAACACTTAAAACTTTCTAACATTACTTCCAAAACATTTCGGTTACTTCAGGCTTTTTAAACAGGTTTTATACCGTTCTTAGAAACCTTATTATAATACTTACTATTAGATTTTTATAACTCATTCTGTAAAAACCTTTATAAATCCTAAAGCACCTAATAAATATTACACAGATATGAGACTCCCATGCGCTTGGAACTACCATCCAAGACGGTGCTGTTATCTCTGTTCTCTTCTTTGCACAATTTTAAAAGCCATATTTAGTTTAATTCCAAACTTTATCTAGTTTTTGTAAAAACTAGCACATTTCTTTCAATAACAAATAAATAGACAACAACCGAAAAGTGAGATTGTAATTGCATATTTCACATTTGCTCACTAATATTTTTCTGCAAGGAAAGTGGTGAGAGCGATAGAATAATTACGTTTTTTTTTTACGTCATTAAATAGTCAAGGCCCAACAATCTAGTGAAATCCGTATCTCAATATTTATATCTTAAAAAGTTGGACTTTGGGAAAAATTTCCACTTTAGGGGTTGTTATTAATGTCTAATTATTAAAAATTAACCAAATAAAACGCTAATTTGTTATTTAGCATCCCAAATGAGATTTAAAATCAAAATTATCCATTACAACGTTTTGTTATCTTTACCCTAGTTTCAATTAATTTATTAGTATCAGTAATATTTTCATTTCAATTAGGTTTAGTCGACTAACTAAAGCTGATAAATTGTCGAAGACTAACCAGTTTTAATAATTATTTAAGTAGTAAAATATATGAATGCTTCTGAACCCGTTCAGACTTGTTCCGGTAGGAAATTTATATGCAATTTGCATCGTAGTCCTTCAGTTGTGTTGTAGCTACGTTCCTACATCCTTTAAAAAAACGGATAATATTAAAGAGCTATAACTAAGGAAGGTTTCGGCGGTTAAAAGGCAAAGCAGGATTCTTATTGTTTCGAGATTATATTTTGATGTATGACATATCTCAAGATGTCGGACTGGAAGCTTAGATATTCAAACCAAATTATAATGCACAATCAGTTACTAAGAATTTTTTGCAGGTACAAACACTATATTTCATAAAATGTACAATGTGGCTCTTCCAATCTAGATTAAAGTATATAGATCCGAAAAGATTTCATTTATTCATATTTTGCAATACACTAGCGGTCCTTCGTGGTAAAATCTGGAAAGTCTGGACGCTAACAATTCGGATGCATCCTTTGGAAGGTGCAAATCTCTAATTAAATAATTTAATTCGCTCTGGTTAAACACTTCGGGCTCTCTGAAATCTAATCTTTTGGGGCGGTAGGTATCGGTACATCTCGTCCATGAGGAAATGGTCGAATAGAAGAGTCAAGACTGGGATACACAATTTGTTTCTTATTTTTTCTGTTGAATCCTTAAACATTATACGAATAAAAATAGCAATCATCATTGTGATTCCTAGGCTCTCGCCATATCATAGGAACACCAAAGCATTTCTTCCTACCTTTTTGCCAGTTTCTTAATGCTTCAACGCAAATGAAACGAACAGTATGAGGAGCCCAGGATAAGCGTGGTTTACATTTTTCACAAAAGAAGTTGCAATTTGCTATTGTACTACTACTACGACATAACTATCACAGATATAACAAAAGTTATTTGGATTGTCCACACTATGTCGTCATATTTATACGTCCTAGAACACTAAAAATACGCAATAACGAAGACCACAGCCGCGAACACAGTAGCACGACGACCAATACAACCGAACTGCGCATAAGCAGATTACAACGCTGTACTGACGCTTATGCGCTAACTCTGTTGCTTTGCAGATAAATCTAATCTTATCAAGTGTTGCCAAATCACAATTAATTTCATAAAAATCAATTCATTTAACAATTATGAATAGCATGGAACAAATATATTCACGAAAAGATATAGAGCGCTATAAAAAAATGAAGTGATAGTGCAAAAATAAGGGCCCTTATAAATATACAAATAAGCTAACAGCTTTCAAACATCAAAATCATCAAATAATGACGTCTAAATTTAATTTTTAATTTTTTACATTTTTCCAACTCGCAATAGGTATACTATTAGCAATTTTTTTATTAAATTTATTGCACTCAAAAGTAGGAGTCCATTCAAATTCCATTTGTTTTTTCGAAACCCACAGGTAAAACAGGTTATTCAACACTGCCATGGATATAAGGCGATGTATGGTCGCCATTTACCTGACTTGCCCCTGTCTTGTCCTTTAGCTAAATTATTGGTTCTTAGGTTTATTCAGTATGAAGTCGTAATAATTTTTTGGGGGAAAGTCCGCCAAAAGCTTCCGCGATATACTATGAGAGACACTGTACTTTTTTGGTGAAAACACTTATTAAACAGATGACGAACGGTGTGCTGTTTTCTCCATTGTTTCTTATTCTCGAAGTAACTATTTAGTTTTATCCCGTAGATACAAACGTTACCGGTCTCAAGAGATCGGCGAGAGTTCGAAAGTTAAGACGGAACCATTGGAATCGACCAAACTCGAATCGGAATCCTTCAAAGCTGAAGTGGACATCGGTCTCGAGGGCGTCAAAACGATATTCGAAGAGGAGAGCCTAACGCCTTTGGAGGAGGAACAGCTATTCCTCTCTCCTCAGTCCACCCAGAGCGAGTTGAAAGAGTTGTGCAGCGAGATATTCAAAGACATTGACCAAACCCCGTCGACCAGCGGCGCGACGCCCTTGGACGCCGATGCCGACGTCGGTCCGGCGATAGACGCGCATATGTTCGAGTTTCTGCGGCCAACGGAAGAAAGCAAGAGGCCTCTGCCGGGCTTCAGTCAGACGTTTCAGCCACCACCACCCCCTTAGCACCCACCTGGCCACGGTATGTGCGAGATTTCGTCGATCGCGGTTCACTGTGCAATTCGAGGGGTTGAATTAGGTTTGGGGTGCTTTCGGAAATTAAGAATGTATTTTTGTTACCGTTTCGAGTTGAGGCGTCGAGTTTTTCGTGCCTCACATTGAACCCGAAACAAATTTGAACATTGTAGATACAAAAAAGTAGGTACAGGGTAGACCGTTTAATATAGGATCTTCAAAAAACGTTACAAAAAACTTTAAGACAAAAGATGTTTGGATTCATTTATACTTTTAAAATAATATATCCTTATATATACAGAGTGTATACACCGTGCATATTAAATAATTTTTGAATTCCTCAGAAACTTCTAGATATATATCGTATATTAACTCAGTCTTACCGTTTCTGGCATATTTTGAATTTTGTGTCAAAAGTGACGTATGTATAGATTTCCCTATGGGTTGTTATTTTAAAAATAAATAAATACAGGTTAAAAGTATTTTTTTCAATTGGAAACACCTCATTTTTGTATTGTTTAATGTAAACACATTTTTTTCCAATTGCATTTCGCATTTTAAAAAAGGGTGACTTTGTATAAGGTCGCCTATTTTAAAAAATTGTAGATTTATTCGTAATTAAAAGTTTAAAAAGATTCCTATTTACTGTCTAACGGGTCCTAAAATTGTTAAAATTTTCTATTATTCGTTTAAAACACTGTTCCTTGTAGGTTTCTGTGTATATGAATTTATTTTTCAAGAAATGTCGACATTTTTTTGTTAATTTTTTTCCGTTTTTGGAAGTTAAACCAACTTAAAAAGTTTCGTGTTAATAACTTAATTATTCCGCACTAAAGAGTAGGCGCAATTTCTGCAGTGCTTGTTTGTTTGTTTCTGCCATGCTTCACTGTTGTCTTCTTGTCAAATGAATATCCGTGTAGCATTTTTACTATGCAAAAGTTTATATTTTGAAATCTACAATTGTAAGAATCCTTGTATAAAGTCACCCTTTTTTCGAACGCCAAATATGACATTACAAAATGGGGTGTTACATAAAAAAAAATCACTTAATGATTTTTTCATTCAGATTTTTACTGTGTATTGAGTTACGGAGATTAACCCCAAATATTTAACATATATGAGATATGTTAAAAAGTTGCTGGTTGTCAAGGAAAATACAAACGTCCTGTAGATATAACATTATAATCATTTAAAAGTATACGTGAATACAAGTTGTGGGATAAAGTGTGATCAAATAATAAACGGACCACCTGTTACAGAGCTACAGATGTTTGAGTTATATGCAATACACGCAGTTAAAAGCGATATAATTATGTTTTATGATAAATTAATCAAAACTTGTTATTGTTGACAAAAAAACCAAATTTGTTAATGTTTATTTGCTGTTGTAATACCGAAGTTTGTTGGCGTAATAATTCGTTGTTGAGTTGGTTGTCGATATATTTGAATGACGTAGGATTATTGCGGTCATTGTTTTTCTTTTTTCCCTTAGGCTAAAGTGCACGCCTTAACAGATATTTATTTGCCCGCGCGATAAGCGATAATTTTCTTGATTATTTTGTTTGCACAATTTTCGGCTGGAAGCGGAGAATATTTCTTGTATAATTTTTAAAATAAGATAGGTGTCGCCAAGCTTATATTAAAAACGATCGATCGACCTTTATTATTAAAAACTAAAATGTAACACCAAAGGTTTCGTCTGTCCCTATAGATAACCGTTTTTTGTAATATTTTTCGAAACTCAAAAGTTTCTTTAAAGACGGATTTTTTTTAATCAAAATGCATATTCTCTATGGTTTTAAAGCGTTTGTAGTAGTAATTTTTTAAAAGCGAAAAACCTACTGTTTAAAATATGATGAAAATCTATGCGAATGATACTAAGCCCCAGCGCACTTAATTCGTGTTTCCGTGTTGTTAAGCAGTACAAATTAAACTTTTTTAAGCGCCGATTTTGCGAAATAATTTTATTCAAGGGGGTGTAATCGGAAATCGGCAATACTTATGTTTTATTTGCGAATTCGACATGTACTCCATTTTGGGTTGACGATTATTTAAAAATAATCAGAAAGGTGCCTTAGTGTCGGTTTCATAGCAACTTCAATAAGTTTTTATGTCTTTAGAAATAAAAATAATAATAAAGTTTCATCCGTCCAAAACCGCTCCTAAAAAATAAAAAAAATATACAACTTTGTGGATCAGGTTTATCTTATTGACTCGCGAAAAGTAAAAGTGAGTGCGGTCAGAAATTATAAGTGCAGAATGTGAGTTAAGTATTGAATGCATTTTACTGGCGTTAATGTGAACACAACATTTTTTATCGAGTTCATATTAAAGGGGATATTTACAATACTATTCTAATATAACTATTCATAATACACATTTAAATTAGCTGCCACAGGTCTTTCATGTAAATGTTTCAAAGCTATTATTTCACTGACATTGATGTGGTTCTATTTACCCTATTGAAAAACTAAGCTCATTGCTTGATTGACCGCTTGCGTTATTTTTCAGCTCTATCTCTACAACTTCGTAGTTCATGTTTTCATCCTCATCGTTATCAACATCGTTTTCCAAGTCGGTCTAAATAATGACGTATTTATTCCAATTCTCAACATCTTTGCCACTATATACATCCTAGAGCCTATAACTGGGGTAAGCAAAAAAGTTTGTAGAATTTTGCGCTACACCTTTTGCATGAATTAATCAGTGTTCTTCCCATAGATATGCCAATATTTTTAAATTGTTGACGGTTCCAGGTGTTGCTAGGTTATTTGACTGCATCTTTTAAGGAAATTTTCTATCTTGACCTTTGGTTAAGATAAAACTTTTTATATAATATTGCTTAGTGAGTTGTAACACATTCTGATCTAAATGTTAAAAATTCTGATCTAAATGTTAAATAAAAAAATAAAATATGGCACCGTCATCGGTTTTTATTATTTTTTGACGGTGGATGTGAAGGCGCAATATCTCAAATGAAGGTAGCCTTTTCTGGAAAAGGTTTTTTTCATAGGAATGCCTGGACCTACAAACAATATGTTTTGTTTTCTAGAAATATATAGTATGTATGTATAGTAGATATGTATGTACGTAATTTATACCAGTACGCTTTTGATCATTCACCACAGTTTTTAAAGAACCAATCTTTAAAAATCGCCTTCATCATCTATTTTTGGAGTTATTGTGTACTAATGGACTGTCAAAATCTTTGATACATCTCGGTGATTTAGCTTTTGTAATTACCAAAGGTGTTACTTTGAGTAAGCCTAATGCATTTACAGATTCTAGAACCGTTATTCGCTGTTTGCCTAATTTTGGAACTGGCGCAGTGTTTTCGGAAAGTGAAACATAGCTTTTATCAGGTACAAGTTTATAATACAATCCAGTTTCGTCCGCATTGTGAATTTGGCTGAAATTTAGACTGTGATGAGAATTTTCCCTTAAAAAGTCCAAATCTTCATTGAAATTTTTGAAACCATTCATCGCTTGCGTTAAAATTCTCGTTCCCCTTAAGGAATCATTTATATAACATGCTTTCTAGTGTAGGATTTTCAGCTTTTACCAAAGTGTGTTTCTGAAATTTATTTGGCTTCAAATTTTGGGTAATAGCTTTTATTATTTTATTTGTTTTTATTTTTAATGGCAGATATAGTAGATTTCACTATTTTATACTTTATGGACAACGCTGTTACATTCGTAGCTTTTTGAATCTCTCCTAAAATATTCTTTGTATAAGGTGTTAACCACTTATTGTATTTAGCTACTTCGAGAACGAAATAAACCAGCACACAAGACGACGCGACCGGCGAACTAAAAATTAGCAATTTTATGTTTATACACACATCAGTTTTTCTTTATAATAAATTGAAAATTTCACCGTATGTTAGGGTTATTACGGTGATAAAGAAACAATTATTCGCCACTGGACGGCAAGGGTGTAGCAAACATACCGACAAACACTTTTGATAATATGCCATTTTTTTGTTTGTAATTCACTTTAGGTGTTATACGAGTGATAACCACATATTATTGAACTTAAAACTTGTTCACACTACTGAATATTTATACCTAATTAATTAATACTTTAAAGAAGCGGAATTTCACGGTGGTGCGAATCTAATAATACTATAATTATTTTCTTATATTTATTTTTACTAAAAAAAAATATTTAAGATTATGAAAGCGAACAAAGATTTTTTGCTAGAAATGTTGCCTTAAAATTTCGATAATAAGTGCCCAGATTAATAGTCATAGGCTGGAATTAGTTGTGAATACAGCTGATTAATTCTATTTCTCTTATCGGCCTGCATTTGTTTGTTTATTCATTAGTAATTAGAGTGGATTAGAAAATACAAAAAGTCTTACTCTAGGCACCTTCGAGAAAAATCATGATGGCAAATGAAACAAAGAAGAGAATAATAGTGGTGTATTTAACTGCGGACCGATGACGAAGTTTTAAGTCACGTAGGTCTCACAGTTACTAATCGTTATTTATTCGTTTGGCAATAAATTGGGTACATGTCCAATCGTCCGTTAGAGAATTTATTCTACTAATAAGCGCCATGTAATAATAGTTCAGATTGTAATAATTTTTACCATGTGATATCTGAACTATATTGTTCTTCCCGCGGAAAAGACTTCCAGGGCCGTAATTCTGATGATATGAATCTACCTCATTTTATAACAGTTCATTGCTGTACAATCAGCTAGTCATAGGTGTATAAGAGTAAAAATTATATATTGTACATATATAGTTTTTATATTGTAATATATATTTTTAGGTTAGTATAATGGTTATGTATATAATATAGTTGTTTTAAATATTTACATATATTTTTGTACAAATAATGAATATAGTATTATTTATATAATTAATTGTTTCACTTACTTGGAACCGCTAAAGCTGGTTCAGCCAACCAACCGTCCAACCCTTCAAATGGCTCGAGAATTGGGCGCTTGTATTTCATTTTAATTTAAGCCGCATTTGACATCCTTAATTATCCTGCAATTTGACCATGCGAGTTGCTGCAATTCGTTACATGAGTATTTAGATAGTAAGATTCTCAACAAATAAAAACAAGGTTGTAGTGTTCAACCTCTAAAAAATAACTTGCCAAGTTAGCTAAATATCATTATCCGGATTATCTCGAATAATCACATTTACATAAAATGCCTTTCCCTTAAATTAGTCTTCAAAATCTTATTACTATTAAATAATGTATTGGCCCTGGTCAGTATCTACATCACCACTCCGTGAAAGCGATATATGTGACTGAACATTGTTAATATGAAATATAGGATAGGATAGGAAATAAAGGGTAAAAAAAACATTTCAATTGCTTTATATCATCAATAGGTAAAAATGGTCTAGAAATTCACACAGACGTGGTGCATGGAATTAAAATGTTTATCGATTTTCGCAAAAAACGCGAATACATTAGCTGACATGACCGTCAGAACTGCCAAACGTCAAAATTCAAGGCGTGCGAAATATCTATACTGGTGACCGTTTATCACACTTGTTGCGTAATATACTAATTTCTACCCCCTTCTCTAAAATGTCTAATTATACACCGATCTAGCCTGCAGAAAGCGTCACTTTACCACGTGAGTTTCTTGTTCCTCGGATCCGAGCCCCTTACGGGACATTTCCGGGATTTTACCGCACGGGTTTGGGAGTAATCGGATGTTTTCGGAGATATTACCGCACGGCTTGAATTTTGACGTTTGTCTGTCAATTCTGACGGTCATGTCAGTGAATACATACGTGTTTTGTAAAAATGTATGGAAAAACTAACTGGTGTAGAAAAAGTATAGTATTTTAGTAGTAATTAACCCCAATTTCAAATCCGTCCGAATACTAATGTAAATTTTCAGCTGGCAACAGAAAACTACAAAAAATTAGCAACTCGTTGCAACATTACGCATGAAATTACAAGTTACAAGTTTGAAGCAACTCGGTTGCATTCGATTAATTCGTTGTGCAACCTTTGTAGTGTGACATCAAATTGCATCATGAGAATGGGGCTTCAATTTCAGGAAGCTTATGTGATAATATTCATTGCTCATTTGAGCCATTTCTTCTCAATATTTACGGGAGAGTTCCGTCCGTTTTGTAAAAGCTTCATACAAGTCTATCACTAATTTTTCAGTTAGGCCAGATTGTGATCAAGAAGCTTTAAAAAAAACCTGCCTACTTAGAAATATTCTAGATAACGGATATTGTAAATAGCAAATTATCAAATGAAAGAAGCAAACGTAGTAATTTACCGTGTGGACCATAACGAATTATGATTATAAGTAGGAAAATATACTTCCTTTGTCAAAATCAAATTGTTACTACTTTGGGTAAATTAAAAAGGAATCAGGAAGAAGATGAAATCAATGAAAATTAGGATTTCAATACCAGAAAATAGACAAAAAAAGAACTGGGAACTTAGAAAACTTAGATGAAACTTGGTTCAAAACACATGATACAGTATCCAAGGGATGAATTGATTCCAGGAAAACTGTAAGACAAAAGCACCTTCAAATAATTGTTACTACTTTGGGTAAATTAAAAAGGAATCAAGAAGAAGATGAAATCAATGTAAATTAGGATTTCAATACCAGAAAATAGACAAAAAAAGAACTGGGAACTTAGAAAACTTAGATGAAACTTGGTTCAAAACACATGATACAGTATCCAAGGGATGAATTGATTCCAGGAAAAACTGTAAGATAAAAGCACCTTCAAATAAAGGAAAACGCACGCTGCACCAGAAGTGGAATTTATTCCCTCAAGTACAAAAAGAGAAATGTAAAAATATTTGTTGCAAAATGTTATTTATATTGAATGCCAGAATGCGCAAATTTTGGAAGTGTTAAATTCCAAATACTATTAAAAAACTATATGTATGTGCCGAATAGATGGGGCATACTGTTTTATGGCTTTGCAGATTCTTATATTTGCATACAAAATAACGTGGATCACATTGTAGGTAATCTTAAAGACGACTCTGAGGGTGAAACCGAATTGGATCGGTTTAATGAAATTACGTTGTTACTGTAATTTAACTTTTTATTATAGCAATGCACACATTGACGTTATACACACAAATCGTTTACTTGTTATCAGTATTAAATTTAATTTTAAACGTGAAACGTGGGGGGATTTAACATTAAACTGGGGTGTGACGTTAGAGCTTCTCAAGCAATTCGTTTAACTACGCGGATTAATTTAGTTTTATTTATTTATTTAAATGAGAATATTCTTTTGCTTTGCTCTTATCAACTAAATTAGCCTACGTTGAATTAATCTAAACATTAATTAACATTTATTTAGTCTGCACAATTAAGGACTTTTTAAACACTTTCTTGAAAGCAGTTGTCAAGTTCTCAAATTGGCTGTCTGGCTGTAGACTGTCAGTAGATCCCCTGATGGTGTCAAAATCTGCTTAAAAAGTACAGTCTGGCCAGTTTATTTTGGGTCTTGGGAGTATTTGGATTTTCGTGGATAACTAACAACTTTTTAATGTTAAGTTAAATGGAATCACGCAATTTTTATAATTTTATCGTATTTACCATTTGAAAAAGTGTGACGTTTGTATAAGGTTGGTTGTAGATTTCGGAATATTACCAATGAAACATTTTTCAATTGTAAAAATGCTATGACATCAAAACATGGCAAAAAAAAACAATCTAGCAGTGCACATTTATTAATGTGAAAATTACAAGGAAAATACTAATAGCAAATAAAAAAAATTAAAAAGATAGCAACATTCAGAAAAAAAAACATTTTTTTATAACATGGGGTTCTATAAATTGACTATAATCTTTAAGGGTACTAAAATTTTATTTTTGTATTCATTTCACCACACTATTTCTTGCAAGTTTTTGTACATCTCAATATTTTTTAGCAAATGTCTTTTTTTTATAAAATTTGCGTCATTCCAACAAATTAAAAAAAATTACTTTATGTTATTTTCGTGCAAAATTTTTAAGATTTATTAAAAATCGTCAAATGAATATAAAGCAACTTCTGTAGTATTGGATTGTTTCTTCCTCCAGTTTCGCCAGCATCTAATATTTCTGATTTTACAACTTTTTCAAATAGGCAACCTTATACAAAGTCACCTTTTTTTTAAATGCCAAATGCGATAAAATTATAAAGATGGGGTCTTTTCATTTGAAAAAAAGAGCTTCTAAAGATTTTTTAATTTAATTTTTTATGTTTTTGATAACTCTGTTTATTTATTTATTTTTAAAATTATCAGAAACTATTTTAATATTAATTTTACGAAATAAACTTATTCTTAAAAAAAACGTTCTAAAATCTAAAATATAACGATCAGATATCGATATTATACAGTGGTATACGACGTTTTTCAAAAATATTAATTTATTCGATTAGAAAAAAGTTATTAAGAAAAGTTGTTCAGAACTTAAAACAACTGAGACATATTGTATAATAATATAATACTTCAAAAGTATAAGCATTTTTGTCTCTTTTTTTGAGATATTTTACAGGTTGTGAGATAAGGTGTGTCATCCCATAATAGACGGGCTACGCTATATACCCAACGACTTGGGATATCGTCGGCTTTTTCTTCAAGCTGTAAAAATAATATCCCCCGTTTTACCCTTACGACCACTGCTTCCAAGTTTTACATTCTTTAATTAGGTATGCTATAATACTTATTACGGTGGATAAAAATCTGTTGTATCATTTATTAATAGCTATAAATTTCGTGCTCTACGTGATAAGGATCAATTTTATAAAGCCTCACGTTGTAGTACACATGCATACTTATCTATATGTTGTTTTTAATATACGTTAAAAATATACACAATCAAAAATAATTTCGTTGTCAAGGTACTGTAACATTTGTCTTGCACCCTATGTAACTCCATCAAAAAATGCATCCGCTAGGTAGGTACTTACACGTTACTTTAATAGTATCTATTTTGATTTAACATTTATATATATATACTTATCATTGGTCCGTCAATTATAATTTATGAAGTTGTGGCTGACTTTTAAGTACCATTGTTAATTAACAATAAAATTTCATATCTGCGTTGCAATCATAACGAACGAAAAAAATGTTGCTCCAATACAAAACGCTAGATCTAGGTTGTATTTTTTTCACAACGATAAGGATAAAATTATAGCATTTAGACATAATCGTTCGTTATGTTAAATATAGGGTGATTCATAAAAAATGAGCAATCTCTAAAATGGAGATACTAGGCACCAAAATATTATGACTTAGCTCAACATGCCTTATACACATGTCGCTGAATTTTCTCCTTAATTGAATTTTTGTAGTACAATAAAAATTGGAAGAATTTCAAATTTATTTGGACGTTGGTCCCATAGGGAGCTAGTTGCGTATTATTTAGAAAAATCTATTTTTTTATTTGTTGGGTAATGATTGAAACATGATGAAAATCTGAAAGCAAGTTCAATTTTTATGGAAAAGGTACTTCTGTTTATTCCCTCTAACAATGTCGGTTTTTCGCCTATTTGCATTTCGAAATATTTTAGAAATGGTACGGGGCGCAATATAAAACCAACATTTAACAATACCAATTTTGGTAATAGTATTTAAAAAAATCCTCAAAATTCTGTAAATGGACGATTGACTTATTCCCGTAGCCTCACTTAACCGAAAAGTATTCACAACTGGATTTTTCTGAACACGAATTAAAATTTCGTTTTCTTCATCGACGATATTGATTTTTCGGAGAAATTATCCTAAACGGTTGTAAACATTTCTATAATTTGCTTGAGCAAAAACAAAACCCATATCACGCATCTCACTATGACAAAAGGTCGCCCTTTGTTATTATAAGCTACTACGTTTGCACAAGTATTAACATGCACACAAACTAACCAAAATTTTATGAAATGTAAATTTGACAAATGCTGACAAATCTACTTAGAAGAAAATAGCAACATCATAAGTTTAAATGTATTTTAGAATGTATTGAGCTATATGATGGACAATTCCAACATTTGATTTGATGTTTTTTCGTTACTATTATTAACATTGTTATTATAAAGTTTGGTACCTTTTCTACGAAAAATTGAACATGCTTTCAGATTTTCAAGTTTCAAATTAAAATCTAAAACTACCAATTTTTATCATTGTAGTATAAAACTTTCTTAATTAATTAAAAAAATCAGAATAAAATTAAACTTTGACCGCCCTATATCTCCGAAATCAGTGACATTTGTATGGGGCATGTTGAGCTCAATCATAATAGTTTGGTTAGTTATGGTTAGTCTAGTATCACTATTTTAGAGATTCTCTATTCTTTATGAATCGCTCTGTATATTTCGTAGATCGTTTGTGCATTCAATCAAGCGATTTTCGTGTTAATGTTATGCAAAACTTATGCAAGTTTTTTTTGTGGGACTCATTATATTTTAATATACCTAAGAACCAATATAGGTATTCTGAAACAATTCGTCTCGTACCTATTTCTTGTGATATTCACCACCACTGTTAAAATTTCCCCAAACCTGGATTGTCCCATCATCAGATTATTCGTTGAGGTTTTAATATGTAAACTTAGTTTTAACTGATAAATATAAAAACTAAAATCAACAATTTCTTAAAACTTAATAAAAAACGCAAAACTCATTTCTTTCACCTCAATTATTAAATAGAATTAGTATTCATTTCCAGTCACCTATTACAGGCAACCTCCATGAGTTTCATGTCATAATTTCTTTGGCGTCACAAGTAATTAATACAGTACAACTTTGCATGCCTAAAAAATTATAATTTTTTATATACAGGATATTTCAAAATTAGATGTTGGTCCTTAAGGGTGTGATTTTAAAACAAAAAAAGTTTATATCAATGTAAGGTGCTCAATCGCTTTATTTTTTATGTATTTTTTATAAACAGTTTTTGAAATTGCTTCAGATATTTTGTTGATTGTTTGGTAGATTCATACATATTAAACTTATTCTTGAGTTAAAATTATTTTTTTACTTTCACCATTAGCGTCGTGGTAAGTATAATACTGAATATGTATATTGCACAAAATGGCACGCCACTTTTTTTTAAGCAAATTTTTAGCAAATTTAAACAAAATATCTAAACCAGTTACAATGAAAATGAGGAAAAACCGTTTTTTTCTCTTAAATAGTGGTTGTGTATTTAAAGATACTATATCTATAAAATTTGTTTTCTTAAAATTATTCAAGGAATTACACCCTTAACGATCAGCATTTTATTATGAAACAGCTTCTATATATTGTGTCAGGGTGCTTGCTATTCACTTCCCAAATGAAATATTTAATGGGGTTTCTAATATTTTCCCAAATAGTTACGAATTAAAGTAGATTTCATTTTAGACTTTATGCAGCTTCCATACTTGATCACAAATTTGTTTAAACCCCATTTCAAGGGAAAGTAGTAATTATTTCAATTTTTTTAAATTTTAACTGAGCAATCGCATATAAATCGCCATGGCTTAAATATAATTGTAGTAGCGCGGGTTGCCCGGAAAATGGAGTACTATTAAATACAGCAAACAATCCTAGATTAAAGTCGTGAAAAAGTGATATTGAACCAATACGCATCAGTAAAATATCGCTCATTAATGAGAGTAGAAAAGCTTACTTTTATTCTTATTCTTTCTCTGTAGCTCGAGCTGTTTTTGACATATGATTTCTATTTAAAATAGACATACTACATTTATATTGATAAAATATGACGTTTTCGAGATTTCTGCATTATAATATTTTATTCCGAGTTGGCTCAAAAAGTTCAATAAGAATGGGTAGGTTATGGATTAGAAATGGACCCATTCAAGCAACGTTGATAGTAACCTAAATAAAGGATATTTTAACATTTCTTTAAATAGAATAAACAATTACTCATGCCTAGGAATAATGAAAATATGTCTGTGAAATGTCGCTCATTGAGATACAGGGTGGCTCATTGTTGTAGTTCGTATATTCCCCAATCAAATTAAAAATTTGTGACATGTTCCGAAGAATCACTCCACAATATATAAAAAAAGATCAAAATTAAACCAATAATTTTCCAGGAAAGCAATTTTGAAATCAGGACCAGTTTAGTTGTCGATTTTTTGTGGAGGTCAGTGTAATAAAAAAAAACGGTGTGTTTTATCGAAATAAATGTAGTATACCCTTATTATTTAGAAATCACCAATCGATCACAATTTTCAGAAAAAAGCAACAGAATGGCGCTAATATAAAAGTTACGACACGAAATAACTATATTATAGGGTGTAGCTAGAGCCTTCTAAATATTTCATTTTCTCATATTTCAAAAACTGCTAGAGCCATAGAGAAATAACGAGAACGAGAATGTTTTGGCTTAATATCATTGTTTTTATTACGGACCACCCTGTATATAAAAGTTATAATTCTATTTCATCTCGTAACTAAAAACATAAGAAAACATAAAGAGAAGAGTTCGTTAAAAAGCAAAATGGGCCCAATATTTCTCCTCAGCCTATAAACGCATGTCTTTCCTTTTTCCGAACACCCCGTATTGTAAATAAACAACGTTGCATTGAGATGCCGTCCATTCGGTACTACATTAGAATTAATTCCTGGGAACTTAAATTAGGTTGAGATTAACAGTGCCGGCTACGAAGTCTTCCCTCAGGAGCGGGATCAAAGTTGGCGGGCATCTGAAACATGAATATGCGTCGAGTTAAACTGTGCTGCCTCCGCAACAGGAATATTTACGACGTTCCGTAATGGAAGACATTTTGAAGACAATGGAGGTGGGAATGCAGATCGAATAGTCCCCCCAGATTTACAAGCACATGTCATTGTCCAATATGAACGCAAAGCTATGAAATCAGAAATTTTAGAAAACAGGTTAGAGATACCGGGTTAGTATATAAGTATCATTACGCATTTTATTCATTTTTTATGTGAACAACAGATAATTTCCTAGTTACAATCTTCGCGGAAGAAAAAAAACATCCTAGTATCTGGACAAAACATATCCGAGGTAATAAGATCAAAAATGCATTTCATAAAAGAAATTTGTGATTTGGGGAAAACAAACTAATAGTAAATAGCAGTAAAACGTAGTAAACAACAAAAAAACAAAGTAAAGTCAACTCAGCCTGATTCCTCATTATACAAAGCTAAATAATACAAATTCTGAGTTTATAGAAATTACAAATTTTTATAGGAATTCTCATAAATAAATGTCTAAATTAGGACCCTCATATACAAAACATATATGAGAATAGAAATTTTGAATCTGTTAGACGATATGGCATCAAATTTGGGTGTAAACGGGATTTTATTATGCGAAAAGGGAACATAAGTTCAATTAAAAAAATGAAAAACAAGGACTATTGTAGAGGAGGTTTTAAGAAATTTTAATTAACGACTGTGTAGGCAATCTATATTTACGACTGTCTAATATTTTCATTCAAAAATAGAAATGAGTTTACGGAAAATATAATACATAATTATGACACTCGAACGCAGAATGTCATGTTACCTAATGACATACTTTCGATAATTGAAAAAGAACCTTATAATAAGTGCATTAAGATATATTACCATCAACTAAGTTCTGTGAAATGTCTCAACACAATCAGAAATTTTAAGTAAGCTATCAAGAAAATGCTATTGAGACTAGAACTATATTCACTTGAAGATTACTTTGGTTAATGATCGTTGTTATCGACGTAAAAGAGAATTATAATAACGAAGTTTTATTATATTATTATTATTATTATACACGGTCCCAACTAGCTCATAGCAGTCCGGAAGTCAGCTGAATTTCTGGATGACACGTGTGAAATAATTATTTAAGAAAACAATACTGATCCTTTGGTTGTATGTTAAGCATATTGGATATTATTGTTGGTGTGGTGGTGGTGTTTTATACCTCTACTTCTCGCGTAAATATATGGGACATATCACTTAAGTAAAATTATATCACCAAAAATGAAATTCGGCGAAAAGATAGTTACAGTTCATTGTTACAGTTCATTGCTGCAAGAAAAGGAGCGCGATTCTATTGCATTATTTTTAGTTAATTTTCTTTTAATTCAATTTGATAATCGAAAAATGCTGACAACTAAATATTAAACCATGTCTTGCTTTTCCTCACGTTTCTTGAGTTTAAGGCGAAGGACGCTTTAAACTGAAACAGACGAACAAGTAGTGTATTGTCAACAAAAAATATCTCTCGTCATTTGAGTAATGATAATAAATACTTTAATTACGAGTAAAATACAATAATGCACGTGGAAAACCTACTGATCTAAAAGTGCGAGAAATTATTGTTGACCAGTACCATAAAAAGAAAACAATGGGCGAAATTTTTAGTAAATTGACTATAGCTACAACTACTGTCTTTAATATACTTAGATATATGATGGAACTGCCAATATTTGATTTGTTTATGTAGTGTGAAGCATTTAAAATTTGTGACAAATTTAGGTAAATGTTAAATAATAAATGTTTAGTAAATTCATTTGTCAATATTTTGGGGGATGTTGAAATTAGTTCAAAATATTTGCGCTTTCTCTGATTGAAGTCAGTTTATTTACATTCCGTGTTTATGTGCAGCAAAGTTATCTACTTGGAGATTTTGTCATTCAGCAGGACAGAGAGTCTTATGTAACGGCTAAATCTACCAAAAAATAGATGGGAGAATATGACATTAAAGTTTTGTCACCTCCTTCTAACGGAACGGATCTTAATCCAATAGAGACACGTTAAGTTCATTAAACACTGTCGTGACGTAATCGATCTTTTTTTTCTACATCGTAGGTCTCAAGTCCGATTGTGTATTTGTTTAATTTCCTTGAAAATACCTAAATTTTCTTTTTTTTTTCAAGATCGCTTCGCTTTGGTCTCAGTAACTATTCCACTTTTTTATATCATTATTCATCAATAGGTGAGGCCGATTTTTGCTGTTATTTTGATGATTTCTTCGATTGGCCTAAATTGGTTTATGTGCATATGTTTAATTAATACGATTAAATATTTTTTATTTTATGAACATTTCCTGATATTTGTAAATATTCCTCGAAACTTTAAAGAATTTGGCGATTTCTAAACATGTTAAAATTATTTACACACCAACAGCATAATCGATCTTTCCTAGTTGTGTAAACAGCTTTTGCCACTTTTAATGATGTCATCAATTGTTATATATATCACCTATACAAAATAAGAATATTTTGAAAAAGATCGAAATTACGATCGAAACGTTAATATATTTAGAAGAATCACATCACATTCTGTTAGTAGGACTTTAACTTTTTGAAAATTAAATGTGTGTTTGATGTTTTCGCAATGGTTATGAAGAGATCTTTTTTTTGTCATACTTATGTCCGTGGATTCTATTTTTTAAATATTGGCTTGTTTGTCGCAATTAGAGCATAGAATTTCATATACTACATTACTTCTTTTTTCAACTGGAATTTTTTTTTGTAAATTATAACTTTGGTGTCCTATTTGAATTTTGTGTTCCTTGAAAATGGTTTGGAGTTTTTTTGATAATCCAGGTATATAAGGTAGCGATATATATTTTCTACATGAACACATTGACATTAGCGTTGACATTCATTAATTTAAGTAAACCGTTATTTTAAAACGGAATAAAAAATAATCTCAACTGGTTAATATGCCATAGGCATAATGAATCCTGACAAATAATAAAGATATGCGTTAGTAAAATGTCACTCATTGATGCATCCCGTATATGCCCAAATCAAATTCTGAAAACACCGCTTTGGATTGGTTTTTGTAAAATATGCAATATATGAATTTTACTATTTATACATCATTTCGAGTTTGTATGAACTCATTTTAAATTGTAGATACCTAATCAAACATTAATATTGTTTATTTATTTATTTTGTTAAATGATAAAAACAAAACAAGAATTTTAATAGAATTACGATGTAAATTGCAGTTTGCCCCTTACCCCTCGTTGTTTGTTAATTTTGTTTAAAAACCACCTGTTCAACATTTAGTTGTCAGCATTTTTCGATGATCAAATAATTAATTAATCAACATGAAACATTTAATATTTACAATTAAAAAAAAAAACTAAATAAAAGAATTTCGGTAAACTGCATTTTATTCGATGCGCCAAGGTATAGTTGTTGGTGCTCTTATAAAGGAGAATCAGTGCGACGTTCAAAAAATTTACTTACTCTGGAGCGACTCCCGGAAATGGAATGGCAAGGCCTTTCGCTTGAGCGGCCCTTGCCTTCGCCAACAACCCCATCACGGTGCGTTTCGTGGGCGTCATCGCCGACTTGGCACAGCCAGCTAACAGGGGCCTCTTGCGACCCCCTCCGAGAATAGATCCTGAAGAATTTAGGCCGTTCGACGGTGTAACCTGGTCGCCGGATAATGGTTGAGTAGTCTCGCTCGAATTTGTCGACGTTTCTGGAATGTAATCTTATTCAAATTCGATCTTTATGGGCTCTGGCTCAGATGGTAGTTAACTAGGTATAGAGGATGATTCAAAATTCCATATCCAGACTTGAATGACATATTTTCATGTTGAAATAAAATTTCCGTTGAATAAAAACATGTGTTCGCAAACGATTCGTGGCAGAACTAGAGGTCGTTTCAAAATGTTTATAGTTTTTTCCTCATAGCTTTTGTAATTTTGAAGGTATTTGGATCAAATTTTTATTATAAACGTGAATACAAACCAGATACAGCTAAACAGGATAAGGATGACATTTATTCTTGAGAACTCATGATCGCTTTTATGCTTGAAATATTTGTACTAAGCAATAATAGACCACAGTCTAAAACTAATAATCCAGATTGACTGTGTCGATGAAAAGTATTGTATTTCATTGACACAGAAGCGATTGATATGTGACAGATTCGAAATTACGAATAGAGAAAGAAGAGGCTGACATGTGAGGAAGCCTTAAGGTCTTGTTATCAACTAATGAATATTTATAAAGGTTTATAAGAAACTTTATCTTTTAGAATAGTTTTTATACTTTTATAACAAAACTATCGGTATTACAAGTTATATAAGAGGTGTAAAAAAATACCAAAACACTTTAAGTTTAGGTTTATGTTACTTCATCTATAAAAACTATGCTGTTGGTTACTTCAGGTTTTCTAAAAAGTTTAGTAAAGTATATAAACCTTAAAGCACCTAATAAATATTCAAGAAACTCCCAAAACGGTGCTTTTTTTCCAACTAATTTAATTTGCAAAATTTCAAAAAGCATGTTTACGCTAATTCTAAACTTTATCTAGATATTTATAGAGAGCTAAACACACTCCTCTCAAGAATAAAGAAATAAACAACTGGAAAGTGGCGGTATATATTGCATAATTAACATTTGATTAGTTTGAAATGGTTTTCAATTGGTTTTCCCGTTACTTCTAGTTTCATAAATAACTTTTTGGAAACTTAGATTTTAATGCAAGCGCAAGTACACCTAGGTAACTTTTAAAAAAGATTCCAAAGTGTTTAATATATTGGTGAGCATGACGTCTTTTTATATAGCGGCCTATTTTATGTTTTTCCTAATCGATATAAAAATGGAAGAAAATTTTGAGAAAAAAAATGTTTTGCGTTTTAACTGAAATAAAATTAGGTGTTAAAATGGGGCCGCTCTCTTGCTGCCAACTTTAAAGTAAAAACAAAATACGAGGCGAAATGAATTGTATTGTTAGAATTATATAAAAAGACGTGAAGCGGGGCGTTTTTTGTTTGGTGTTTACAAGCACTGTGGATATGCTTTATAGGAATGACGAAAATGTATTTTTTGCCTTTATCAAACTTATTTACATTTTATAAAGGTAATGACAAGCTGTTAGTTACAAATGAATGGGCAGTAAAAGTTTAATATATGACTAAAATTTGGTCAGCTCCTTTATCAGATTCTCGATTTAAGCGCTATATGGGGTTTTATAAGAGTAACTACCTTTCTTCGTGAACAATCGATAGGTTTTCAGGTTTAATAAAACAAGTAATTGTTTTATACCATTACCATTATAATACTAGAATTGTTAGTTGGGTAGCCTCGGATTACGAAAACCGCAACACGCTGGCTTCATTAATAATGGAGATAGCAGTAAAAATATAAAAAATGAGACACACTGTACAAGCACGGTGGTTTATTGTTCTGACAGAAGAAGAATATTTTCAATTCGACAACGACCTCCAACTCTGCGCTCCTGAAAATGGCTACAACGGAATTTCTCGAGACAGATTGCGTTCGATTTGCTGCTTTTTAAGATCGACCTCCACGATGCACCATCGAGAAAAATGAACCGCTTTTGATAAAATGTTATTATGTCAAGTGTCTCCGTAAACCAGATCTGCGCGAATACGTCCGTGATAAAATACATGTAGGTTTTCGGTTTCCGCATATCGCCTTCGACTCGTTCATTTTGGTTGACTGAGCAGTATAACGGATTAGATTCAATAAACAGATGCCGGCGATGCAATAGATTGCCTGTTTATATTTTACAGCAATTTTGAATTCATATTATTGTACACTGTGTTTTTCGTTGATACCGGCTAAATGGCGGGAGGTACAAAAAAATGGGATAACCATCTGTGCCATTCTCTTTTTTAGTTTTTTGATTCATAGCAGAATCCGCCCTTAAGTAAGTAGATTATAAAATTAGTAGTAAGGGTTCATAGAATAAATTGTAGGATCAAAAGTAAGTGTATGTGTCCAATACGTAGCAGAGAAGGTTGTTTCTAGATAGAAAAATTGTGCAAATTTGAGACTTGGCGAAGAAACTTTTTCATATATTTGAAATATCTAATCTAATGTAATATCTAATTGAAAACGGCACAAATCAAATTTCAATTTCAAAAAAAAGTACTACTCCTCTAAAACTGTAGAAATTTCAGTTTTGTAACGTTTCCATTCGGTTGAAAGGCTGTGTAGACAAAACGTATCATTCTGACCACTTCTAATATAAAGCGCGAAGTTTTCATTGTTTATTTGAAAATAGTTTGACATGTATATCTGCAAAGAAAATTTGAACGGAATCATCTCAGTTTCAGTTTTTATGAAATCCAAAATCACTTTCCTCAACATTTCGTTTTTCTCACATGCATCCATACATACAAATAAATAGCGTTGACTCATAGAATTTAATTACTTGTTTCTGATCTCTAAACGGTTTGTTTGAAGAAAATTACAACCAGGATGTGACTGAAAATGAATTTTATAAAGTTTGAATGATATTTATGTGGATTTTTTCAAACTTTGGAAATGCGTGTTACCTTAAAACATTTTATCTGTCCCAGATATCGAAGGAAAGGAAAAAAATATATATCTGGCAGAAGGATTTCAACCGAAGGAGAACGTAAACAAGAATTTAAGCAGAGAATTGGAATGAGAAGATCGGCTACAACAAAATTTCCTTTAGTGTGGCAAAAGGATTTTAATAGATTACGTCATGGGTGGGCAAAAGCCGGCCCGCGGGCCGGATCCGGCCCTTTTGCTAATTTTATCCGGCCCGTAGAAAAATTCCGCACGCAAATTTTTTTAAACTCTTTTATGAGATTTTGTTGACATCAACATTATTAGTGTGCGTACTGTATATATAATAGGCGTAATAAAATGGGCGGTCGGCTGACTACACTAGTGTCGATCATGTCGCAAGCTTGAAACAATCCTCGCGCGATTCTCATGCGGGTCGCTCGCGACGATCGCTCTCAGGGCGGTTTTTTCGTCGAACACAAAGGAGATCGCGCTAGGTTCGAAATGCATGTGTGGACGGCATATGCTGCACTCCTCTCACTTTTCGAGGGACGACAGGTCGCATCACGCGTATTGTTAATTTTGATTTAGCTCTGATCGCATACTCTTTTTTGTTCGAGTCTAATATTAGTTTGTAAATATAAAATTGAAAAAGTGAACTTTTTGTAAGTAAAATTTTAAAACATTGGTTTTATTTTATTGTATTAATTAAATTATTTATTTGTAGACCTTTGTAAAATGAGTCAATCTAAAAAAAGAAAAGTTGATTTGGAATGCAGAAACTTCAATGACGCTTGGACGGTAAAATATCTTTTTACAAACATTAATAAGAAAGTAATTTCTTTCTCGCTGTTGAAGAGTGTTTAGTTAAAGTAAGTTTAACTTGGAATAAAATAGTAAGCGTCACTACGGATGGTTGTCCTAGTTTAACAGGGAAAAATGTAGGCTTACTTAAACATATTCGCGACAAAGTAAAAGAGTTACAACCAGAACACGATATATTATTTTTGCACTGCATTATTCATCAAGAAGTGCTATGCAGAAAAGTTTCACGTGAAATTGAAATGATACTTAGTGTTTTTGTCAAAAAAAAAAAATTGGGCAGGGAAAAAACTCCATCCAAAACATCCACTTGTGCAAAGCATACGCGGTATAGTCCTCCGGCCCGGGAGACATTTTGAAAATTTCATTTTGGCCCGCGCTTTAAAGTATTTGCCCATCCCTGGATTACGTGGTCTGACTGTAATAATATTTTAGTAGGAAAGTGCTGATCCCACCTAGGTGTCATATAAGCATAAAAGTTTTAAATCAAAGCAATATTTGGTATAACTGTGTTAATAGAAAATTGTAATTACTAACTGACTGACTACAAATACAAAATTTGATGAAACTTCAATTTTTATGTTCCCACGCATTTTTAAAAATTTTATATTTAAATTCACAGCCTATATATGCGTACAATTTTACTTTATTTCCTATAGCAGAGACAGTTTGACAATATAAACATCTACACAACCAAACAGAAAAATTTTCTAAACATAAAAAAGTTATTTGTAATTATCAATCAATTACTAACCAAATCGCAAATAACCAATCATTCGAATATGTCCGGAAAAAAAAATAAACGTACTTCTGCCATTATCATCTATGTTAAAAAGAAAGCGCTTTGAGGATCATCCGTTTTATTTTTAAACTAAACTTTTTATGTCAAAGCAAAAGTTATGACAAAAAAAAGTACTCGCTTTCGTTTTACGTTGCCCTATCACAACTAAATTAGTATTCAACCCCAATTTAGGTTATAGTCATATCTTTTGCAAGAGTTTTCTATGCGCATGATCGGAAGTCCCCGATATCCCCCAATAGTAAAGCTGCTAAAGCGACAATAAAGCATGGTTTGTGTGTCGGGTTTGTCAAAAACAGCGCAAGAACAATATTTTATGATGAAATTCATTTTCTCGTATTTAAATTGTAACGTGAAACGCCGGTAGAAGGAGAAGCATTATTAAACTTATTTTAATTGGGTCTACTGCAGAGGCCGGCAACTCAAAGGAAATTTTTGAATTGTACTTTTAAACAAGCAAAGCGTTGGTCGAGAATTTACAAAGATATTGCTGCAGTTCTTTTAAAGTGTACCTAGCTAGGTTTACTGAATAAATTTTTTCTATCAAAAGCTGTTATTAGGATAAT